GACAAAGGACGCTTATATATATATATATATAAAGTGGAAGGAGAAATGAGAAGACATTCCCCTACGACGCCTGGTCAGTTTCTGTGGCGTAGAAGACAACAACCGGTTTCCGCGGTGTTCACCCGCATTTTGAGAAAAAATTGAACCAGTTTGTAAAACGAAAAAAGCTCCCCCACCCCTTTTTCCTCTCTATCTCTTTTTCTCCCTTCATTTCATATAGGAACGAAGAAAAGAGACGGGAATAAGAAAGAGAATCATGGGAACGAAGCCCGCACACGGGACCATCTTTTCTGCATCGTCGTCGTGTTGCGAGCCTGTCGCGTCCCGGAACCCCAATACCCCCCTTTAATTTTCTGTTTGTTAAATCCTTCAAAAAAAAAAAAAAAAAAAAAAATTATTCAATGTAAAAAATCTTGATGCGCGCACTTGGCAACAAAATACAAAACAAATGGGAAATAAATTAAAAACATCAAAAAGTACACGACGAAAAAAGATTTCTTTGATTTAAATAAATCAATTTCTTTGACAAATTTTTCTTTGATACAAAGAAAATTATCTTTGATTAAAAAAAAAAAAAATTATCTTCGCCTTCAAAGAAATTTTTTATTCACTCAAATAAATGTTTCTTTATCAATATTAGAATTTCTTTGATTTAATGCAAAAATTTCTTTAATTCAAAGAAATAAAGAAACTGCACTCAGAAAAAAATTCGTTTAAAGCAATCAAATTTTGGTTAAATCAACAAAATAAATGCATTAATATACAGTTAATTAAACATTTGGTTGCATGAACCAAAAGTTTATTTAGCTCAATCAAATTTTTTCTTTGTTCAAAAAATTTATTAATATAAACCAAACAGTTATTTAGATCAAATAAATATTTATTTGAATTAAACAAATTTTGTTTGAGCTAACCAAAAAATTGGGTAAATATAAAAAAATGGTACATTTGGTTCAAACATATATCTTTTTTTGTGAGTGTAAAAAGCTTTTTTTTTCAAAGAAAATTTTATTTTTAATGAAAGAAAACAAGTCAAAGAAATTGATTTCTTTAAATCAAAAAAATCTTTTACTCCGGGTGTACTCTTGAAATTATTTCCAATATATTTCCCAATTGATTTTTCTTTTTTTTTTACAGGAAAATTGCAATTTTTTTTTTTTCATCGTCTTAATTCTCTTTTTTTTAAACTCTATTACTTTGAGGAAGCTCTCAATTAACTTGCACGCTAATGCATTTTTCTCACAATTTTTATCCATCGTATAAAACTAGTTTTTTTTTTTTTTTTTTTTTAAATATAATTGTATTGTTCAAATAATTAATTTTTAATTAACACGACAAATGATGATAAAGATAGTAAATGTTAATTAATAGTAATTTTATAATTTCTCAATTATTCAAAAATAATTGTATTTCTATAAATAAATAATTTTTTATTTTACATTTATATTAATTTGGGGAAAAAAACTATGTTAAGCTCCATTAGTTTTTTTTTTTAAATATCAATTATCATAATAAATGTTTGAAGTTCAATGTAACTTTTTTTTCTTGTACTTTCGATAAAGTTTAAATGTCAATTGAAAAAAGAGTAAAAAAAAAAAAAAAAATTTAATTCTTCTAAGAATAATTAATTCGATAAACGAGGTCCTTAAACCACAAACTGTGTCTTTATTATTAGCAAGTTCATTACCCCCTTTGAAAGTTGATAGCGTGCGAAAGTTTCGGTGATATCTGTATATATATATATATGTATACAGATACACGAAATATATTCGTTTAATTTTGAGTTAAGCTGCGGATCGGTATTACGAGATCAAAAAAAAAAAAAAGAGAAAGAAAAAAAAAAGTCGATTACATATACTCTATATAACGCAAGTAAAGAACTTTGAAAGATATTTTTATATATAAATATTTACGTATAGCAATTTTTATTATTAAAAATTTTTTTATCTCAAAATTAATTAAAAAAAAATTAATTCTCTAAACTAAAAATTTTACTTGGTTTGTTTCATTTTTTTTTTTTTGTGATTTGTTTATTATCGGAATAATAAATTTTTTAAAAAAGTTACATCCGTTAATCTAACGGGGTCACATGTATCCGTCACTATCTTTCTTAAAAATAAATTAAAATGAAACTGTGTTTGTAAGATTATCAAACTATATGACAAAAATTCCAATGTAAAAAAAAAAATGTTGAGAAAGATTGGACTTTATTTATTACTACGTCAAAGATCAAAGATTTGAATCGTTTTTAGTCTATTTGAAAATAAAAATGAAAAAAATGCGCTAGATAATGAAAAAATGAATTACAGGTGTATAGTTTGCGCACTTTAGATTAATATCACTATATAGAGATTTATCAAATTTGATAGTTTTTTGTTATCATAGAAAATATTTTTATATGAGAAATCATTTATTTTTATTCAAGAATTTTTTTTTATAAAATTCATTATTTATTATTATTAATAATTATTAATAACTAATTATTAATTACTAATTATTAGTTACTAATTATTAATTACTAATTATTAGTTACTAATTATTAATTACTAATTATTAATTATTATTTATTTTTATTACCATTTTAAAAAATTACGAAATAAATTTTCATTTTTATTAAATTCCTTTCTATAAGATGTTTTAATTTTCTCTCCCTAATTAATTTGTACCAATTAAATATCTCTTAAATTAAACTTTTTTTCGTTTACACTAATTTTCACTAGATTTTATTTATTTCAACGAACAAATTCATTTGAGAAATATTTAATTCAATCAAAATTGAAATTAACATACTTTCAAAAAATGTACTATTAAATTTAAAAAAAAAAGTAATTCAATTTTAATAAGAAATTTACTTTTTAATTAATTTTTTTTAAAAAATAAATTTAATACATAAATTGTAGGGGAAAAAAATGATGACACATCAGTTTCTATATTTCATCACTCAAAAAAAAAAAAAGAAAAAAAAAATTAAAACAAACGCAGATAAGAAAATATTTTTTTTTTGATAATATAACATTTAATATATATATTTTTTTTAATTTAAAAAAGTTAATTTATCTCATTTAGTATTGTTATTGAAATATTCTTTAGTTATCACAATAGAAAATTTCTATGATTATTAACTATATATTATTATTTGCAATAATTATTTGTAACAAAAAAAAAAAAATATTTTGGAGATAAATAAATATTTATTTGAAACAAATAAATATTTGCATTGCTTATGTTTATTTGAAGTAAATGGATATTTGTAGCAAATAAATATTTATTTAAAGAAAATAAATATTTATTTAAAGCAAATAAATATTTTTCTGAAGCAAATAAATATTTTTCTGAAACAAATAAATATTTCTTTGAAACGAATAAATATTTCTTTGAAGCAAATAAATATTTAGCTCTGAGAAAAAAATATATATTTTTTATTGAATTCAAATAAATTATGTTTATAATTTGAATAAAAAATTTCTCTTTGCGTATATACAGAATAAAGGAAAATAGCAGAATTTTTTTTATCGATATAAATTTTTAAATATTAAAAAATTCTCTCGGTACGAATTATCGTATCAATAATTAAAAAAAAACAAAAAACGAAAACAAAAACGGTTTATTAATTAGTTGTGGCGAGAATTTGGGAATAAAATGCACGGTATTTAGGAGGCAGATGGTATAAACGTAGATTGTGGTGGTGTGTTTTAGTCTTGGGAGTTGGTTTTCGTGCTTGGTAGATTAATGGATAAAGTTAATCATCAACAATAGCGGAGAATGTATCGGCCGCAGACAGGTAGACAACCCCGCAAAATTGGCAGGACCAGCTCACACAAAATCAATTTGGCAACAAGAAGCAAGGAGCGAGAGAGAGAGAGACAGTTCTCTCTACATATATCGTGCACCAATATATATATATGTCCGCAGACATTGAACCACATTTATATATATACGAGACTCGAGCCAATATTGAGTATCGATGGAACTGAGAGAGCGGAACTTAGTTGGTTGCCCGCCAGAAACCGGAAGTAACACTCTCAGTACCCCCACCCCCGCGGCCTGTCCTCTGCCATGAGGATGTATCGAATGATCGTAAACATCCTATACACATTCCTTCTATCTACAACGATGATGTAACTTTTTTTTTTTTTTCTCTTTTTTTTATCACATTAATAATCGATATTACATTTTTTTCCTGAATTTTAAGACCTTTTTTATTAAAAAATTTTTTTGACCTACTTTTTTTACGCAATTTCTATTTACCTGTTCCCTATTTACCTTTTAATTTATTTTTCATCCAAATATGTTTTTGAAAAAATTCCCAAGCGCCGAGAATTGAACGCAGAACCCTAATGCTCGAAAGTCGAGAGCCTAACCACGAGACCACGAGCGCACTCTTATTTTTCATTACAGAATATTCATATAAATTTTATTTACGGATTTTTTTTCCTATTTTTCTCCAAATCCGTTAATGTTTACTGAAAATATTTTGTCAATCCAACTTAGAGTAAATTAATCACTAAACAATTATTATTATTATACTAAACAATTTTTTTATTTTCATTTTATTTGAAAATATTGAAAATAATTTGTCAACGATGCATTAGTAACTTGTTAAATGCTTGAAAATAGAAAATTAAATAGTCTTTCTGACTGAAATGTCTCATTCAACGTAAAAAAAAAATAAAAAAAAAAAAGCTTTCGTATCCAGACGATCGATGGACGTTCATCGTTCATCGCCTCGTGCTACACGAAGCGTTGTATTCTTAATTAGTAAAACCGTTGGTAAATTTTTTTTTTTTTTTAATAAAAAGCTATATATTTTTTTTTATTTTACAATTGCGATTCAAATTTTTCCATTTCCCTAAATTTGCGAATATTGTTATCACTTAAAAAAAATACGAATATTATTTTACCAAATAAAAGGAAATGGAAAAAGTTTCGATATATTATATATATATTATTTTCGACACAATTTCAAGTTCAAAATTGTATTTCTTTTGGAAAGCACATACCTGTAGACGTATGAAATACATTTATCTTGAAAACTCGTTGAGTCTGCAATTTTACCCGTGCGATGATGTCGTCGTTTTGCTTGTTTTTTATTTTTTCATTTTTTTTTTTTTTTTTGACTTCCACCAGCGTCTGGAATAAGGATGAGTTCAAGTTATTCGAATAATCAACGTGGGCGTTGACAAATACTAAATTAAATTTTTCAATTCAACGAGTTTTCATTCCCCGGGTTTTAATTGAGATAAGGGTAAGAATAAAAAAAAAAAAAAGAAAGATGAGAAAAAGAAAGGTAAAAATATACGAAAATCAATATTGGAAAAATGTAGAACAAAATGAAAGATATTTCAGTGAATTTTTCTTTTTTTTTTTTTGTTTTAAATAAAAATCTTCTTCGTTAAACAAATGAGCTAATTTTTTTATTTCACTCGCATTAAAGCTTTTAGTTTTGAAAGCTTCAAAGTCAAACGATATATATAATAAAAGTGTGTCTAATTTTAGAAACTTGATATTTACAGGGTTATAAGATTAGACTATTTTAATAATTTAAAAAATCTTTCTGTGAAGAAATATTAAAATTTTGAAATTTTATTATTATTGAAATATGTATTTTTTGAGATTTATTCCTTGAAAATTTTTTTTGATTGACAAAAATTTATTTTCCAATTTTTTAGTAATTAATAATCAGTGAAAGTTGAAGCTGACAAGGTTGATTATTATTGAAAAGTGCAAATTGCAATAATTCACACTTCAATTATATTATTCATGAAGCCCTTTTAATATTTCAATTGATTTTCACATTCAGTTGTAACAACGAATAAATATATGTATATATATATATGTATGTATATATAAAACATTCGGTGAGTTTGAAAATAGAATTAATTAAGATTTATCCTTTATTAAAAATACATCGCGATGAGGTAAAATTATATATCACTGACTGTAATTATTATTACTAAGTAATGCTATATAGTTTGCAGAAATAACTGTCAACTATCTTATTTTTAAGATGCATCTGCAATTAAATTATCCTTGAAAGTAAAAATAATTTTAAAACTAATATTTTTATATTTTTCATTATCACTATTTTAATGTAGAATTGAAAATAAAATAAAATTTTTATTTTATTTAATTTTCAATTCTAATATATATCAATTTATTAAAAAGTTAATTTAAATTTAAATTCAGTTTACAATAAATTTAATAGAAAAAAACATTTTACTTAGATGTAGAAAGAATTTGTTCTAGTATTGTGAAAAATTTAATAGCGTGCGTCCGTGGTTTCGCGGTTAGGGTGTTGACTAACGAGCGTTAGGGTTCTGTGTTCGATTCCCGGTGCTTCGGAATTTTTTCTCCGATGTTAAAAATACAAATAATATCAATTTATAACCGTAGCTGGTTATAAATAATTACAATATTGATGATAATTACAATTAATAGTAATTACAATAAAAAATAATTAAAATTAATGGTAATTAAAATTGGTAAAAATTACAATTAATAGTAATTAAAAGCAATGGTAATTAAAATTGGTAGAAATTTCAATTAATAGTAATTAAAATTGGTAGAAATTACAATTAATAATAATTAAAATTGGTAGAAATTACAAATAATAGTAATTAAAATTGGTAGAAATTATAATTAATAGTAATTAAAATTGGTAGAAATTATAATTAATAGTAATTAAAATCAATGGTAATTAAAATTTGCAGTAACTACAATTAATAGTTATTAAAATTATAAAAATCAGAATTGAAATTGTAATAGTAATTAAAATTATAGAAATCAGAATTGAAAAGGTAATTAAAATGAATAGTAATTACAATTAATAGTAATTAAATTCAATGGTACTTAAAATTAGCAGAAATTTCAATTAATAGTAATTAAAATTGGTAGAAATTACAATTAATAATAATTAAAATTGGTAGAAATTATAAATAACAGTAATTACAATTGGTAGAAATTATAATTAATAGTAATTAAAATTATAAAAATCAGAATTGAAATTGTAATAGTAATTAAAATTAATGGTAATTAAAATTAGCAGAAATTTCAATTAATAGTAATTAAAATTGGTAGAAATTACAATTAATAGTAATTAAAATCAATGGTAATTAAAATTGGCAGTAACTACAATTAATAGTAAATAAAATTATAAAAATCAGAATTGAAAAACTAATTAAAATTAGTAGTAATTCCAATTACAATAATTATTAAAATTATAAAAATCAGAATTGGAATTGTAATAGTATAGTAATAGTAATAGTAATAGTATTGTAATAGTTGTTGTAATAGTAATCAGAATTGTAAAGGTAACTAAAATTAATAGTAATTACAATTGAAATAGTAATTATAATTGAAAAGGTAATTACAACGGCAATTAATTAACATTAATTAAAATTAGTAATCGTATTAAATGATATTAATTAAAATCAAATAAATTAAATAAAAAAATTTGACCGTTTTTCGAGACGAAAAAAAAAAGGAGAAATATTTTTTGTCACAATTCTAATTTGCTTACAACTCTTTTTCTTTTGTTATTAATGTAATCTTCTTTCATTTAATTAATGCTATAATGAGTGACAATAAATTTTTTTTTCCCATTTTTTTCTTCGATGAATTATAGTGAAATTAAATTTGGCATGGAATGATATTCGCTGACGGAAAGTTAAACCTAAAGTGGAAATATAAGAAGTGGAATTGGAGTGGTTCAAGTGCGCGAAGGGCATGGGGAGGGGGGAGGGATGCCTCTAAGAAGGGGGGGGGGGGCTTTTGAGGGGTGGAAAACGTTAAAAGGGAAGGAGAAAACGGAAAAAAGAATTTCATTCCTCCTCGAAAAAAAGGAATAAGAAGGGTTGAAAGAACGACAACGATTCCCTAAGCATTTTGTAGTATTGTAGGTCGTTACGTTTTATATATATATAACAACATATAACTTGTTAATTTCCGTAAACGTGTCGACGCACCCTGCGACGAAGCGCGATGACGTAAATACGTTTCATCACTTAATAGAAAAAAAAAATAATCCAAACTTTTCTTATTTTTCTTTTTATTGAAAAAAAAATAATTTTTGCCATAATTATATTTTTAAAAATTTTTTATTTATTTTTCCGAATTTATTAATATATGATTTTTTTTTAATTTGTATTTAATTTTTTGTTTTTCATTTTTTTTTTCTGGTTTTACTCGGACGTTTTTATGCATCGCATTTTTTTTTTATCATGAAAAGATAAGCTGTTATCGTTTCCTCCCCCTTTGTGTCGCCACTCTTGTGAAAGAGTTTTGTGAGTTTCTATTTCACAGCAGCGCGCACGACGCGATGAAAACTCGCGCGCGTCTCAACTTTTCAACGATAGCTTTGCTCGATTTCAAGGACTCCGACGTCCTTTGTTTTTCTTTCCTTCCTCTTTTCATTCGCCCTTTCGTTTTCTCGTTTCCCTTTCACTATGAGGCGGTGGTGGTAGCAGCCAGCAGCTTTGCCCTTCGCCCTTGCCTCTCTTTTTCTCTTTCTCTCTCTCTCTCTCTCTCTCTCTCTCTCTGTGCTCACTCAAGCTTCAAACGCGGAGGAGTAAATAATTCTTGGATTCGACCTTGTTACTCCAGTTCCTCAAACGCAACACACACACACACACATACAACTGGCAGCAGACGTATTTCCTCGTTCCTGTCCTATCGCTTCTTATCGCCACGTGGGACACTGTCTCACAGATGTAATCGACAAAATCGTCTTCTTCACTTTCCATTTCTTTTTTTCTCTCATCACAAATTCCTCTCAAGTAACTTTTCTCGTTCTTTTCTTATTCTTTTTTTCTTCTTCTTCTTCTTTTTTTTCTTTTTTTTTCATTACTTTAATAAGTAGTTTTGAACTTTCATTTTTGTAACCACGAAATTTTTTTTTTATCTATTTTAACGAAACAGGTGAAAATTAATATTTTTCCAAATGTTTTTTTTATTTTTAAAATATATTCTTTTCTAAAATATTTTTTAAAAAAATAATAATAATAGTAATTATAATATAATAGTAATAATATATAATAGTAATAATATTATAATAGTAATATTATAATAGTTATAATATATAATAGTAATAACAATATAATAGTAATAATAATATAATAGTAATAATATATAATAATAATAATAATATAATAATTATAATGTAATAGTAATAATAATAATAATGTAAAATATTTTTTTGGCAAAATAAATAACAAAAATTAAAAAGAAAAAAAAAATTTGTAAATATGAAAAAAAAACAAGGGCTTATAATAGAATTTTTCCTGTCTCTTGTGCAATATATATAAAATTGAATCTAAAGTATGTTTTTGTTGTTAGAAAGTTTTCCCGTACTCTTATCATTAAAAAAAAATATATACATATATATATAGACAATATATTTCATTATATATAAGTGTTTTTAATCTCATTTAATCTTTGCTGCTGATAATTTTCTATATATATATATATATATAGAAAAAATTTGTTTATTTATGATTTTTTTTTTATACTCGGTGGTATAATAATAATAATTACGCGCAAGGAATTAAATTATTACACAGGAAATTATTTAAGGATATAAATTTGCAAATAACGAAAAATAATTAAATTAAAGTGGTAAATAAAAAAATTAATAATGTAATTAATTTAATATATTTAATTATTGTATTTTATTTATTATATATTTTTAAAAAAAATCTTCATCTGGAACAGCGAAATATTTCACTAAAACATCGAAAGTTTTTGCTATTCTTGAGAAACGTATTGCTGTTCCAGATTTATAAAGATTTTTTTCCGTTGTAATTTTTACTAAAATTCAAAAGAGAGCTACCGCCAATTATTTTTATTATTATTATTATTATTATAGTTATTGTTATTGTTATTATTTTTTATTTATATTTTAATATTATTATAAAATGAAAATGTTTCGGAAAATTAATATTTGATTATGAGCTCTACTATATACGATGCCCTGATTCGACTTTCTTCGTAAAACTATAATCGCGACCGCAAAACCGTTATTCCGTTAGCGAGGACCGTTTATTTATATATATATATATAAATTTACAATAAATTTCATAATTATCAAAGACCAATAAGGGCAATAATAAAAAAAATTTCAATTTAAAAAATTGCTAAATAATTTACAATTATGAAAAAAAATTTTTTTTTTTTAAATATTTTCTTCGTATATATAATATAATCTGACCTGCTTTTCTACATATACATATATATAAATTGATTACTTTTTTTTCCCCCAATGTTGTTGCTAATATAATATTTATTTATTAATTTTTATGTAAAGGTTAATTAGAGAGAAAAAAAAAAGTTAAAGTATTTTGCGACTAAATAAATTTTATTTCATGCATATTTTTTTTTTTCACCTCACACCTTGGTGAATGATTAAATTTTTTTTCTCTTTTTTTCATTTTTTTTTTTTTTTTTTTTTTTGCAACTAGTTGCAAAATAAATGTTACGACAGCGAATTACATCCCCGCCACACTTTGCAATAGATACTTTTTCCTGTAAACTGATGAATATTGCTCAAGTATCCTAACAGAAAGGTGGCAAAAAAAAAAAATAAAATAAAAAATTTTTTTTTGATAAAGAATCATTCCTTTGCGAAATTAAGTCTTAATTTTTACAATCTCAATCTATATTGACTCATTGGAAAGTTATTTACGTTCTATATATATTCGTATAAAAAATTTAATGAAAATTCAACTAACATTTTAAAGATAAAAATGTGCCACTTTTTTTTAAAATAGTTAATCAATATTTAAAATTATTTTTTTTTTTTTAATGCTCTTATTTCTTCATACAGAGAGTGTATAAAGTATATGTATAACGAAAAAGATTGTTCGATTGCAATGGCAGTTTATATATTACAGTCTGGATGCACGATTTTAACTCGATTAACTTAAACGATGACTCAGTGAGTTTCTTCGAGAAGATGGTCGAGACAATAGCTTTTGAACAAATCTTTAAGGTCAAAAGGTACACGGGTCAATAATTTTCAAAGACGTATTTTATAAAGGAAAAGAAAAAAAAAAAAAAAGAAAAAAATACCAATAAAGAAAGAATTTTAAAGATTATTAAATAAACGACGTGTCCTATTTAACTCGTCATATATAATTAAATAAATATATTTTTAATTTAAACTCCCCATAAAGTGGTACATTTAAAAAAATTGAAATTTTTTTTTTAAATTAAAGTTCGTAAAAAAGGTCAATCGATGAAAATGGTTTTTCAAAAAATTTCAATTTTTAAATTCAAATATTGAACGAGTAAAATGTATAGGAAAAAAAGACAATCGATTTTTAAAGCTTAAAAAAATATTTGGAAAAAAAAATCTTTAAAAAAAAACGATATTTTCGCACAAGTAAACAAAAACTTAAAAAAAAAGTGTTCGTTTAATGAAAAAAAAAAAGAAAATAAAGCTTGTGATCGGAATGTAATGTTCTATTTTTTCCAGCCGACTTAACAATATAATGATGCAAATTATAAATATTTTCATCTTTGTTTTATTCTAATTGTCTTGCAAAAGAGAATGTCTGACGTTTTACTGCAGAAACTTTTAATTAGTTCAATATTAAACTGAACTGATAACTATATAGACTTTTTCTAGGGTTGGTTGCACAAGGTCTCTCTCTCTCTCTCTCTCTTTTTTTTTCTCTCTTTCGCCCCCTATACACTTGAATTGAAAATCGAGATTGAAGTTAAATTCACTCGATGAAATCGCTATTTCAAAAGTTTAACTAGAAATGGAAGTGATGCAAGACGGCCCTTTGTGCAAGAAACTTGCATTTTTCGCAACATTTTATATTATAGAATTTTCCCGACGAGAGTTTACGATTTGTTTACTTATCTGGGAGTGGTATATATACATAGTTTTACATATTTATATTTATATATATATATTTGAATTGAGTAAGTTTTGCTACTAAAATTTTATTCAACTTTTGCATTATTAGTGTGTAGAGAAAAAAAAAATATTCAATATATATAGATATAGTATATAAATGCACACAATCAACGAAATTCAGGTCTCCAGATTATATAGTATGTAGTACATTCGGCCGGCATCCTAGATTCCTTATACTTTCTATTGTGTCTATGAATTAGACTACTTTTGAAAACTTGAAGAATATTCTTTCGCGATATTAGATTCTCCTCTTGAAAATAGTTTATCCTCATTTTCTAAAATAAATGAAACTCTCCAATTTCTGAATATAAAACAAAATTCATTTTTATTTTCAAATCGAATTTCACATTTCTATTATATTATTAGATTTTCTCTCTAAATCTGAATTAGTAAAAAATAATTTAAATTAGTGACTCACTTTTTGCTTTAGAATTAGTTAAATTTTACTAATTGTTAGTAAAAGTTACTAATAATTAGTAAAATTTTACTAACAATTAGTAAAATTTAGCTGACAACAATTAAAACTATCGATAAATTAAACCTACACTGAAAAAAGAAATTTGATTCAAATAGTCAATTACTTGACTCAAATAAATATTTACTTGAGCCAAATAATTTTTATTTGAATTAAATGAATTTTATTTGAATTAAATAAATTTTACTTGAATCAATAATTTTCATATTTGAAATAAATACAATTTAATTAATTCAAATAATAATTATTTAATACAAATAAATATTTATTTGATAATAGTCAATCGATTATTTGAATCAAATAAATTTTTTTTTCATTATACCACAACGATTTGAATTACTGGGTTTTCCTAAAGTAATTTTTATTCAGAATGATTCGCTGTTAATTTTTATTTTAATTATTATTTTCACATATTAATTAATCGCGAATTTTAATCATTAATTATTTATTAAATAAATAATTATAAAAAATTATTAATATTAATATTAATAATAACTTTAGAAAAAATATAAATAAATTTATTATTAATTAATAATATTAATAAATATTATTTAGTATTAATTAGTAATATTATAAATTTTTATATTAATTAAAAATTAAATTATAAACAATAATTATTTGTTAAATAATTAAATATAAAAAATTATTAATATTAATATTAATATAATTTTCTTTAGAAAGAATATAAATAAATTTATTATTAATTAATAATATTAATGAATATTATTTAGTATGAATTATTAATATTAATAAATATTATTCAGTATTAATTATTAATATTAATAAATATTATTTAGTATTAATTATTAATATTATAAATTTTTATATTAATTAAAAATTAAATTATAAACAATAATTATTTATTAAATAATTAATTAACAATCGATTAATTAATTAATAATAAATAAATTGTTCCCTAATTATTAATAATCCAAATGAACGATAATTTAAAATTTTACTTCTTAAAAAATTTTTGTCCCCCTATTAATTTGAATTATTAATAATTAATTAACGCAAAATAATATAGTTAAAAAAAAATATAATTAAAAATTTTAAAAACAGTTTTTTCTGCCTTTTAAATTTTTCCCCGCTAAATTGAATAAGTTTTTTCAATATTGCCAAAAAAAGAAAAAATTTCCTACGTTTACTTTTCTGTTGGAAAGCAGATAATAGAAACAGAACAGATGTTGAGACGAATTATTGGAAATTAATCACAATTACAGTGTATTTCCGTTTATTATATTTTAAATTTGACGATTTCTGAGAAAAATATATTTTTATTCGAAATGAAAAAAAAAAATTATTTATTAATTTTTTGTTTTTTTTTTGCAGGAAAATAAATTGGTCGTGAAGAGGAGAATTATCGTGAAGAAGGTGAGGGAGGGAAGGAGTCAGGGTGTTGGAAGTTCTTCTTGTGAAAAGAAAGAGGACACCGAAAAACTCGAGGCTGAGGACGTTGAAGGGTTCGAGGACTCGGACAGGTTCGAGTTCGAGCAGCAGTCCTTCGAAGACGACGACGTCGACGAGGACTCTGGTAACACCCGAAATATAAATATTTAATTATCCATAAATTTTTTTATAAATTTTTTTGTAAATTTTTTTTTTTTTTTTTTTTTTTTTTAATTCAAAAATTCATTGAAAAGAAATACGAATTGGATCACTCTATATTAACAATAATGAGTAATGTTTGTTTACATTCCCCGACGTTATCTTAAACTTTCCTGGCAAAATTTTCACTGATAAATATCTCTATTTCATTTCTCAAATGCTCCCTATAATGAAGACAAGAGGATAGAAATCTTGTGCAAAAAAAAAAAAAAACAAAACAAAACAAACAAATAAATATCAAGTTTGTTGATTTTTCCTGAGCAATAATTGTTTCTTATTTATTTACTTCTTTTCATCAAGATTAACAAAAGTAAGTCACTAAAAAAATAATAATTAAAATCAACACGATGATCTTGCTATTTAAACAATTAACGAGAAAGAACTTGTTTTTTTTATATATATATTTTTTAAAGATCAGATAAATTTTTTCGTTGAAAAAAAAATCAATTTTGTATTTACATTTTATTTGCTAAATTTTTCCATTTGTGCGAGAATTTTTTTTTAACTAAAATGAAAATAATTTTTCAATTTTAATTCAATTATATAAATAATTTATTTATTTTATTAAATATAATTTTTCATTTGAGTAAATTAATTTAAAAAACAGTTTCATTTATTTAATAATTAATTATTTGATATTTTGACAAATATTTATTTTATAATAAATTTTAATTTATAGATTAATTAAGATTGGTTAAGATTTTTTTTCTAGTGTACAATGAAAGTAGGATCTATTAAAAGAAAAGAAACCATCGAAAAGACTATTATATAAAAAAAAGACGTAAAAATAGAAAAGAATAAATGGTATAATATGACTGATTATCCTTTGAAAGATAGCAAATCGATGATTCTTATCTCGATTGCGTTTGTAGGAGATAAGTGTCACGCGAAACTTGACCTAGGATAGAAATAACGAATTTTGCAACGATTCTAAAAAAAAACGAATATTTAATTTTTTTTAAATTTCAAAATTTGAAATAGTTTTAATATTCAAATCTACTCAATTTTAAATTTTCTTAAATTCAGTTATTTAATTATTTATATAAATTAATTAATTATTTATATAAATAAATTAATTATTTATATAAATTAATTAATTATTTAAATTTCAGTTATTTTCAATTATAGTTTCAATGCTAATAAAAATTTTCTATTTAATTTTTATGGCAATTTCAATAAAGTTGAATTAAATAAATTTTAAGGCAAATAATTTTTTATTTCAATCAAATAAATTTTAATTCGAATTTTTATATTTAAAAACAAATATTATTTAATTGATTCGAATTATTTTGTTTAACATAAATATTTTGTCAATTGAAAGAAATAAAAAATTGATTCATATTGATAGCAAAGAATTGTTTTATTTTTCAAAAAGAAAAAAAACGAAAAAGAAAATTGAAAAAAATAAATACTGATTGAATTTTGATTTTTTTTAGCTAACGGTGAAGACGGAGAGGACGAAAACGCAGACTTCAACATCACTCAGGACGGAGGTGAGGCACTAATAGTGCCAAATTTACGTATGTTGCAACAACGGAACGGTTCAACATCGGCGGCACCACCCGCTCAACCCATCATGTTCCCTCAGCAATATTGCCTAAGATGGAAATACCACCACAGCAACTTGCAAACAATGTTTTCACATCTACTCGAGAGGCAATCGTATTGCGATATCACGCTCGCTTGCGAGGGAAAGACACTGAGAGCACACAAGGTAATTGACCAAATAGTGCTTTTACATCGTCCTTGAATGTCATGCGATTCTCTCGCGTTTAAAGGCCTTGAAATGTTGAAATTCCGCGCGCCAATTCCTTCGAAAGAAAACGAGACGATTCTCCGCGGGGTCGCAAACGTCACGCTCATATATTTTTTTTTTTTTTCTCAAAAAAAATATTCCATCATTAATTTCAAGAGAATTGTATTTTTTTTCATTAGATGTTGAACAATTTTCCCATTAATTTCTTTTTATGTTATCGCACTTTACATTTCTCAAAAATTCATTTTCTGCAATGAGTCACCAATCTCTTTGAAAAAGGCAAATTTCGTGATAAAAATTCATGCCTTCGAGGATTTCCAATTTCATCGGCGAAATCAATTTCCTGGGAAAATAAATTTTCACGAAAGAAAAAAAAAATATTTCTTCGATGAAATATATGGAAAAGAAATTTGAAATAGAGAGATCAGTCAATAAAAAAAAAAAAAATTTTTTTTTGAAAGTGACTCATTTAAATTTTGAAAACGATATATATCCAAATTGAAATGTTTCCCTCGACTATTTTGAATTTTAATTTCAATTGTAATATTTCGTTAATCATATCAATTTCATAAGAATCATTTTCAATGGTTTCTGAAATATTCGGTTTCACGTAATATTGAAGTTTAATTTTGTGATCCCTAACGTCTCTGGGGGTTTCTCTCTTTTTTTCTAGTAAAAATTCTCTTCTGATTCCTTTCCCTCAAGTATACAATATATTCCTCTGGACTCGATTTCTCTCTCTCTCTCTCTCTTTCTCTTTCTCTTTCCGCGCTTTTTCGCGGGCTTCTTTCACTCGAGTAGAATTTCTGTTGTTTTCTCTTATTGTGTTGGTTTGTCGACCTCCCACCACGCAACTCTGAACTGGGAACATAAAACTTGACAAACGATCAATTTTCTGTTCTTTGTTTCTTACCACGAAAGAACTCTGGCATTTCACCTCTCTCTTCTTCTTCTTCTTGTTCTTCTTTCACCTCAATCTCTTATATTTTTCCCTTCTTCTTCTTCTTCTTCTTTCGCTCCCTCTTTGGATTATATCTTTCTCGATGTCTGTCTTTTTCTTTCTTTATGTAGCCTATGCGTCGAAACGAGCCGCGCAGAGGAGAGAGGCACTCTATCAAAGTAGAGTACATTTGGCTTGGTTTATTTTTTACTTTGGGAGGGGTCCAAATTGTAAAATCAATACTTCCTCCTAAATTTAGAATGCCTCGTTCAAACACTGAATTTTCGCTTCTGCCTTCAACATGTTGTGTTCAGATATTGATGGTTTATTGCTCTCTGTCTCTATTTCTCTCACTCTTTATCTACTGTCCGTCATGTCACGAGCAAGTACCTCTTGTCTCCAAAATTGAACACATTTTTTTTTTTAACATTTCTTCAAGCCGCAGATTTTTCCAAAATATTTCTTCATTTTTTTTTTTGTAATTTTGCAATATTGCAAATTTTTTCTGAATCACAGAATATTAAAATCCCTAGAGTGAAAGTACCTCGCAAAAAAAAAAACGCGGGGTTTTTAGAAGGAGAAGTTGACAGCTGTGTTTCCTTGCCAAAAACACCTGTGTCCAGGTGTTTTTATCTCGTCAGTAATTTATCTTCAGGAAAAAAATTTATTTCCTTTCATAAAACCCCATTACAATTTTTACAATTACTATTTTGCATTTTTCCAATTGGTAGAGAAGAAAAATAAAAACTTCAAAAGAGCAAAAACATTTTTTTTTCTTCCTTTACTTCCTTTTTTTTCGGACCCTTATCTACCAGTGAGTCAACGATAAATAAAAGCGTGAGATTTTTTTTTATCAAACAAAAAGTATAAAAGACCCTCTGTGAATTATTTATATTTTTTTTTCATTTTAAATATATAAAGGAAATTTTTTTTTTTTTTTAATTTAAATTTATTTCTAAATTGTATTATTTTAATGGGATTTAAATTTTTTTTTATTTAACCTTTGTTTGACACACTGGGGTACAAAATACCCCACGTTTTTCCATTCTTACCAATTTTTCTCGAAATACCTCACGTTTTCCAATTTTTTAAAAATACTTACTTTAAATATTCTACTATATAACTTATATAGTTTTCAGAAGATACCTCTCAAGAATATGTAAAAAAAAATTGAAGTAGATATATTTAATATTTTATTTTTCATGATGATTTTTGTCGATGGGGTACAAAAAACCCCAATGTGTCAAGTATGATACTCAGAAAAAGTGTGTCAAGTAAAGGTTAAATTGGCTCGTTTTATATATATATAAATGAGAAAGAAAACGGGAAATGTAGGTGAATTGTAGTTCATTGCTTTTAATATATATATATACGTATGTTACTATATTTGATTATAATCAATCAACGTCAAAAAGAGAAAGATTTTTGCGCGCGATCTTTTTATCTCTCGAAAACACGCATTTCGAGTTTCTGGGTCGAATGTTCGGGAACATGAAAAAAATTTATATATATATATATATATATATTATCGTTTGGACTATGCAACTGTTTTTCCAATGACTAATGTCTTATTAATCTTACTTTGAACTTTTAGCACTCGATAACATATTATTGATTTTTAGTTGTTCAAAACATAAAAATAGTTAAAATATTTATTTTCAATATAAATAAATTTTATATTGAAAATATATTTTATTTATAATTTAGAAAATCGTTACTTTCATAAATATATATAAAAATATGATTAATAAATTAATTATTAAAAATTTGCAAAAAAAAAAAAAGAATTTCATAAAAATTCTAAAATAGAAAATCATTTTCTTTCGAGAAAATTTATAATTAAAATTTTAAAAATTAATCAACATTATCTCGAGAGAAATTATTTTTTTTATTCATTTTTAATTCAGAATTTAAATAAAATATTCCATAATCATTAATAAATAATAATCTTATATTGGAGAAAGTAAAATTTTCAAGATGAATATGAATTTGTAAAATGAAATAATTTTTAAATTTAAAAATTTTTCAATTATTCAATTATTTATACATATAGTTAATTAATAATAAAAATTAATTTTCAATATAAAACATTTCAGAATTTTTTTTAATAAAAAAAAAAACGGAAACACCTCCACAAAAATGAAATATAATTTTAGAATATTTCTGAAAATTATGTCTCATGATGAAATAAATTTGAGAAATATTTCTTCGTATTAGTTTTTTTTTTTTTTTTTTTTTTTTTTCAAACAGATAAATTCCAGTTTAAAAAAATTATTGACGACATTATGGTGGGTTTGAAAAGTAAACCGGATTTTCCTCATTAGTTAAGATAATGTCATAAATTTTCTTCACAGGCAAAAAATTTCTACTCTAAAGATTATTTCGACTTTTTTTTTCATTCTGAATATTATTATTTTTTATAAAACAAAATTTCTTTATTTTTTTTACAACTATTTAATGACTCTTTTCTTTATAGATTTCAGAAGTATTAATATTTTATTTCTAATTTTAAAAATTATTTCATTTTATTTTCAATATTTCTTGAAGAATTTTTGCGAAATGCAATTTTATTTACTTTCGAGTCACGATTATTTAATGTTGCCATTAAATTTTTTGATTAGAAAAGGTGTATAGTTATAGTCATTAGGACAAGAGAACGCTGATACGATAGAACAAAAAAGGAAATAAATAAATATATAATTAAAATAATAATGAAGCGGTTTCACAAGACATTGTATATATAGATATTATGGGAATTAATTTTTTTTTTTAATTTCTTTTTTTTTGGTTTTTTTTTTTGGTTGATAAAGTAAGTTTGATTATCTCCCGGTAGTTCAATAATAACGTTGAAATCAAAACGCTTTCGAAATGACTAATGCTTTGTAGTTCGCCATCATTATATTCAGTGTAGCGTGCAAAAAATATTCCATTCGACCATTACCCGAGAGAGAACGCTGTCGAAATGGGGTTGTCCAACTGTCCAATAAATTTTGGAATAAAATTCTAAAATAAAAAATAAAAAAAAAAAAATGAAGCAATTTTCCAACCAAAGAAATATAAAATATCAAATTTAAACGAGAGGAAAGAGTTCGATGATGAACGAAAATTTTGTTTACCTAATTTTTTTTTTTTTTTTTTTCCAAATATTGTACAAAAATTAAATTTTTAAAATACAATTTCTTTTTAAATATTTAATTTTTTTCTATATTTCACAATTTTTTTTTCTTTTTGAAAAAAAAAAATTTAATTTAACGAGAAAAAAAAATATCACGAGTTATATTTTTCTGGTTGGTTGGAAAAAATATTTTCAGTTTTTTTTTTTTTTTTATTTTATTTTATTTTATTGACTCTAGAGGCAAATATTGTTGAACGGAAAATAACACCTGCGAGTTTTAAAAATGAATTCACCTTGAAATATAATTCGTCTAGATTAAAAAAAAAAAAAAAAAAAAAAAAAGGCAATAAAAGTTGGTCAAGTTAAAAAAGAAGTTATTAGTGACGGGAAAAATGACACAACTTTTTTTTTTTAGAATGATAAATTTGAATTTAATGAATTTAGTTTTGTGAATTAAAAATTTTATATTTCAAAAAAGAATTTTATATAAATATATATAAGCGCAGAAAAGAAAGGACAATCGATATTTTCCAACGCGAACATTAAGCATGTGTACTCATTTTTCAGAGCGTCCCTACTTTCTATTTGCGAGGGCACGAATTCGAGCCCGTGGTTTCTGTTTCACATTGACAATGAGTCACACTCGTCACTAAAACACAAAAAAAAAAGAAAAAAAAAAAATACATACACACACGAGCATTTTATAAAATATACAATGGCACACCAGTCCCTCTCCCCCTTTCCAGTTTCAGTTCGCCCCCCGCTTCATCTCTTTGATCCCTTCCCTGCTTTTTTTCACTTTTTGCTTTTGTATCTCTCTCTCTCTCTCTTTTCAACTTTTTCGTTTTCAATCTCCTTTTTTTTTCTCTCATCTACCTATCTTCTTTGGCGAAGCGCGGTTAGAAATTCGAAAATGTTAACGTTTCTTTTTTTATCATCTTGGCCTTCACGCTTCGCCTATTTCTCAGAAATTTTTTTTTTTAACGCACAGTCATGCCCTACTGTTACGGCAAAAAGCCAAAGGGAAAAACAACTGGAATTTCATCCTTAGTTCTCACATTTTTACAATTTTAATTAACCGTAACTTGTTTTTTAAAATTTTTTTTTCAAAAAAAAAAAAAAAAAAAAATTTCCAAGTAATCTTTTTTTAATTTCGCGGTGCCTTTATAAAGGACTATTTTTTATTATTATCGTTAATTATTGGAATATTTTTATTTATAAATTATTTATTTTTTTTTTCGAAATTAAAATTGTATTTAAATGTGAGATTTTATTTTTATAATCGTTGTCAATTAAAGTTATTTCAAAAATAATTTTAACTGACAGAATAAATGAAGGAAATCAATTTTTTTAAATTAACAGTAATTGAAACTGTTATCACTGTAAATTACTTTATTTTAAACTGAAAAATATAGTGAGACAAATTTTTTTTAAGGAATTTGAAATAAAATTTTTTTTTTTTTTTGTAGATCAAAATCAAATGAGGAGGAGGAATCGACGTTCACCAAGCGATTGTAATATTGTCGTTTGAAGAATGAAAATTAATTTAACCAATTTTTGAGGTCGCAGTTTAACGTATCCAAAAAGACAAATAGAAAATAAAACAAAATATGTCTATCGCGGCCCCACCCATATTCTCAAGGCAGTCAATAGCCTGAATATTTAATGTCAGAAGTTTCGTATTGATTTTCTCGATTTTTACGTCTCCGCAAATAAGACCGTAAAGGCCGAAGGCGCGTTACTTTTCAGAGCGGGCAATATAACGCTTTATTATAGCCGGCGCTTTTATGGGGGAAATACTGCGATAAAAAAATAAATTATACTCGCCGCGCGTTTTTCATATCGGGTTCATTACGAACCCTGAATTCTTACGCATTCTTTTTTTTTTTTTTTCTTTTTTCATTTTTTTTTTTTTTTTTTTCTTTAATGTCTCTCAGCATTAAACTTTTTATTATGTACGACCAAGACTCCTCCGTTCGCCACACAGCGAAGAGCACAAGGCGTAACGAGATCCAGCGGAAATTGCTGATTCGTATTATTCTACCGAATGGACTTGTTTTGAAACCCCAGTCCATTGTCTCTTTTGCTTATACATATATAGATATGTGTGTATAATATATATATATATTGTAGATGTCTCGATTAAAATGGGTCAAAAGCTGATGTTCTCGATATTTCATTTTCTCTCCCCCTATTATGATGCTATTTTATATATATTTTTTTTCGGACTTTCAATAATAATTAAAAATTTTCTCTTTTTAATTTCAAGAATTTCTTCTCGGCGAAAAGAAAATCAATATGAAATATTTAAAAAAAAAAAAATCATTAAATTCGAAAAGGCAAGAAATTTGTTGACACCGTTATTGGGAATTTATTGATTGTAACGCTTTTTTTTGCACAATGATAAAAGATATTTAAACCAGGTCGATAAATAGACAGTGTGTAAAAGTTATTTATTTGTAAGAAATTTTTCAATTAGATTCCAAAAAAAAATTATTCGACTGATTTTATTTTTTCAAAATAAAAATAAAAATTGCAAATTGTCGAAAATTTTTAATTATATTTATATTGACTGAATTGAATACGAGATTTTTTTGAATTACCAACTAACAATTAAAACTATTCCCTTTCTTTCATAGATAACTGAAATTAAACAAAACAAAAAAAAAAAAAAAAACTCAATTGTCTATCGAAACTCGGAAGCGATAGAAACCATATTTCATCGTCGTCGTTTATTTACATTGTATTGTACTTTATATTTTATGCATTTTGCTCTTTTCTGTTTGCTTTGGTAATTTACATATTTTTCCATTTTCCTTTTTCATCTTCAACCTTGCCCAACCCACCTGACACTCACACCCCGGAATTCCTCTACGAACAAGATTTCAATTCTTTTTATTTTTTTTTTTTTTTTGGTACGTTAAAAAATTTACGATTCAAATGCAAATGTTTCATCTTTTCATTGTTGCGGGGGATCTTAATTGCAAAAACGCACAATACATTTAATTCGCAGAGAGAGAGAAAGAGAGAGCAAAAATAATAAATAAGAAAGACAGAAAAAGCTCGAGGGCCCCTAAGATTTGGATTAAATATCCTAAAAATTAATCATTAATTTAACATTTTTTAATTAGTTTTTCAATTCGATAAAAAAAAACTTCAATCGATCGTGATTTACCCTAACGATTGTAATCGGAAAAAAAAATTAATATATATCAAAACAATTAGTAATTTCAATTGTAAATAGTTTAAATTTTATTTGTTATTTTAAAATATGTTTTGATAATTTTCAAACATTGCTTGCGACTAAATTGAGTGCAATTTAAATTTTTGCCTAGTTTTATTAAAGAATAAATTTAATTAACTTGTTCCAATCAGAGGTTTGCACGAAACAATTTTAATTAAAATTCAATTTCGATTTCCGATATATATATATATATTCGACGATTTTTGTTCTCTGAATAAAGAAATAGTTTTTATTCGCGCAAATACAAAAACTTTTAATCGAAATCAATAAAAAAAAAAAAAAATTCGAACTTATATAATTTATAAATAGAAAACAATTATTAATTGTTAATTAATTATTATTAATTAGATTAATTATTAATTAAATTAATTATTAAAAATAAATAAATTAATAATTTTCAATATTTTAATAATCTATTATGTTTATTTTGCAGGTTGTATTGTCGGCGTGTAGTACGTACTTCGACACAATCCTATCACAATACGAGGAAAAGGATCCAATAGTGATCATGCGTGACGTAAAATTTTCCGATATTAAAGTATTGGTGGAGTTTATGTATAAGGGAGAGATCAATATCGACCATGTAAGTATAATTTTATTGTTTATTTCTGGGTCACTTTCATTTTCATTCTAAAACTAAAATAGTTTTATATATTATTGCATTAAATATACACTTGAAATCGATTAATTTTTTTTTTTTTCATTTCTTTGGAAATAAATGTAATTTTTGCAAAAGCTGTCACACTGTGTAATATAATTTATGACTTTCGTCACTCTTCTTCTTCTTTTTTTTCCGTGAAATTAAAATATTAAAATTGAGATATTTTTAGTATGACAAAACTCATACAATAGAAATAGTCTTTCTATTCATAGAGTTTTATGGATATTTTCTTTTTTTTTAGGATATATTGAATAAAAGGATTTTTAATTAATATTTAGTTATAATTATTACTGAATTGTTATTTTAAATATTTCGCTATATTAAAACACTTTTAATGGATTCTTCGTTAAAAATGTGAAATTTAATTATTTTGAGGGAAATAATAGCTCGTTTTATTTGTATATTGGTATTTAAATAAATATGAAAATATTTTTTCCTTGAGTTTTAAAAATAAAAATTTTTTTTTCTACTTTAGTCGCGGGTATTTTCTTGAATGTTTCTTTTTTTTCTAGAGTCTTGGCGGATTTCGCGACGATAGCCGGTAAAATGAAAATTGGTGGTCGCAAGTTTCTGATTGATCCGCCAATTCTCATTGAATGTATATAGAGTTTTGCTCGATCGCTTTTGCGTCACATGGCACGTTTTTCACATCGAGTCAACGAAACGAAAGCGGCAATTTCTGAAATACATTTATTCCCCGCGCACCGTTGACCCACTTAACATTTTTCCAATTCTGCCGCAGCCCGGCCGATAGAAAGCCAAGCGTTTGTAGAAAGTTCCCATATTATTTTAGCATTCAGTGGCGCACGCTGCATTATTGCAGTGAAAATTAGCAAATAATAATTGAATTCATTGTTTCTCGTTTTATTGTGTCCAGGTTACTTGCGGATTTTTTTCTTTTTTCAATCGTCTTTGAAACCCACCCACCCCTTTTCTTTTTTTCTTTTTCCTATTGACAAAAGCTCATCGATGAAAAGCTTACACTTGCATCGAGAGAGTTTGATTATTATGTGCAAGATAAAAATAACAACAGTCAATTTTTTATATTTTTATTTTTACGCCCGCAATTGCTCTTATTAGTTTTATTTTTATTGTACAATCGAGCATGAACGCACTATTTTTTTTTTTTATTTTTTTTTATTTTCTTTTGTACCAATAAAAAAAGAGAAAAAAAAAAAATAACTGACTTATTTCCACATAATGGCCACTGTCCTTTTATTAGATTCACTATAAAAAGTTATAAATGAAAAATGATTCGTTGGAACTTTTAAAACCTGTACAGAGTATAGGTATATATATATATGAAAAAATATTGATAAAAGACTTAAATTGTTATCAATTCTGAGGAAAATTTATTTAATTAAAGTAAAGAAAATTACTTTTTAACTGCTCATCAACTTCTTTCTCGCGTCCTATTAAGAATTTTTTTTTTTTTTTTTTTTCACAAAAGTTCTTTATTAAAGATCTAATTAAGAAAACTTTGCCAACTTAAGTTATAAGATTGAAAATCTCGTTCGTTAAATTTTCTTTAATTAAATTTTGAGTGAAGATTGAAATTTGAATAATCTTGTCTAATGTTGTCTTTATATATATGTTATTATTTCAGTTATTGTCACTTTGAGAAAAGTATTTTTCTAAAAATATAAATATAATTTTCAATGTTTATTTATTATTTTAAATTTTTTCACAAAAGATTTTTCATTTTAAAATTTCAATCGATGATCATTTTTAAAATTGATATATGTAACATAAATTGATGGTAGCTACAACTATTTGAAGAACTTAGGGATGTATCATGTTGCGAAACAATAAAAAAATTTCCAAGTATCGCATTTTATGTTTCGTTCAAAAAAAAAGGAAAAAAAAAAAAAAAAAAAAAAACACGCCTACGACTAATCATCAGTGAATAGCACATTATGTATTATATGCGATGCAGCTGTTTGTTCTCAGAAAAAAAGGAAAAAAAAAATTATTAACGTCAAGTTAAAGACAGCATGATTTTTTTCTAATGACATTACTAATGATCCAACTAAAATTAAATTAAACTCGTTTGATGAGAGACGAAAGACTGTCAAAAGTTTATAATAATATGGAAATGTGATAGAATTCATCTGATATTAATATTTTTTTTTTTTTCAAATCGATTGTAAATGTCGCGAGTTTCCTAGAATATAATCGATCCAAATGCTATACAAAATGTATATTTAATATCTTGCAATAAAAAGAGAATAGAATAGGTATAATCCGGAAGAAATTATTTTCTAAATTTAAAAAATAAAATAAGCTATTATTTATAAAAATTAAAAAAAATAAAAAGGAGAACAATATTTTAATTCTAATTAATATTTTTAATTATGAAATCCTTTTTGAAAATTATTGTTCCGCTTTTATACTTCGGTTAATTAAATTTCTAATTAAAAGTTAAACATAGTTAAAATTAAAATTAAATCAAAAATCCAATTAAAAAAAATTATTTTACTAATTGAATGAAAATTTTAATTAAATTATTATTTTTGAAAAAAGTATTTTTTTTTTATTGCTGGTATTTAAAAAGAAGAAATCAATTTTAATATTGTCTAATGGATGAAAATTTTGTTTTGCAGACGAGGCTCTCATCTCTATTAAAGACTGCAGAAGACTTGCACATTAAAGGATTAGCCGAAGTCAGCTGGCGAAGTGACTCAGCACAGAATGACATAGCAAATAGTGGTCATAGTCCAGCATCAGCTACCCCTGGTGTTGAAACAGTTCTCAGGGAAGGAGATGGGGATGATCAACCTATGCCAAAACAGAGGCGTAGAGGTCGTCCACCTCTTGATGATCCACCATCGGCGCATGATGTTTTCACGCCGAAAATCACTTGTATCACCGGAAATGTAGGCACAGAGGGCTCATTAAATGTAAACCAGGTTAGCTGAGCTTTGGGCGCATTGGGATTTAATTTTTTTTTTTTCTCCTTTTACCCTCTCTCTATTTTTTTCAACTGGCACATTTTTTTTTTAACTCGCATGCGAATATATATATATATATATATATATATGCACGCTTTCACGCTGCATAGAAAATTAGATCACTCGAATTTGTAGCAATAATTCTATTTTCCCCCGTCAATGTAATTAAAAGGCAATTTAATGTTTCTCTATAATGTAATTTAAAATTTTTTTTTTTTAATTTCAATTAGTAATTTGCAATATTTTATAATTATTATTTACTTTCTAAATATTTTTAATTTCTTTTTACTATTAAGATTTTTTTTTAAATTTACTGTATTGTCGAGACGGATAAATATTTCGGAATTTAATTCGAATTTCTAGTTGATTTAATTTTAAAAAATAGTTTCATATTTTTTATAGAATTTTAATTTAACTAAAATTTTATTTGACAAAATAAAATTAAAATTAAAATTTATGATAAATTGTATAAAATGTGTAGAGAAATGTTTTTTAAAAAAATTTTTTCCTCGAATTACAACTGATTTGTATTTGATTGCTAATGGTTTTGAATTCTCTTGATCAGGAGGAAATGATGAGCGAGGGAGGAGACCATGAAAGTTGGGATGATGATATGATGGCAACGAATGAAAATAACGACCCTTCTCTTTCAATGGTTAGTATTCTTTTTTTTTTTTAAATGTCCGATTAAATTGAATTTTAATTGAATTAAATATAAATTTATTGCTACTATTGAAGATTGTAACTAATTTTTTAACTAAATTTTTTTTTTTTTTTTTACAGCTCTCGTACATGTCAAAAGAGGAAGGAAACGATTTGGAGAAGAAACGTAAATATTATTTTTAATTCATTTACATTTTCTAGTTAAAGAATTAAATTGCTAATAATAATAATTATTATTATTTTATAAATTAAATTAGATAATTAAAATTCATGGCAAAGATATCCATTTTCGTTAAAAAAAATGATAATGATTTGATATTATTAATTTTAGCGCCCAATACGCCTACGGCATTAAACGCTTCGAATCCAGCGATACCTGAACAATTTCGGGATGTTATCAAAATGAACGATTATTTAACGACGGGTCGACGTCAGGAGTTTTGGGAGGAACCTTTCACGCGACGCGTTATGGACGCCATAAAGAGCAAGGAACTGGAAATGAAGACTGCAGCTGAAATACTCGGAGTTTCTTATGGAACTCTTTACGGGAGATACCGTGACAGTTATGGATGCCTTAAACACCCATACAGGTATATTTAAAAAGATCTATTATACTTCTTTATAATGGTTGAATACGGAAACCGCAATTATTTTAATTTGTTTGAAAATTTTCATAAAACTTTTGTTTTTTTTTTTGCCTTTTTTTTATTTCTCTTTTTCTGATAAATTTTCTTTTTAATTAAAATTTTTCGTTTTTTAAAAAAAATAAATTATAAATTTCGATAATTTATTATTTTGCACCATATAAATTAGCAAATAAATAATCCAATCGATATATGTGAATTTAATTTTAGAGTTAGCAAACTTAATAAAAATTTAACGTATTCTATTTTTTTCAATTTTTGATAAAATTAAATTTATTACACTAATTTCTTAGACTATTTGAAAAAACGTTGTGTAAAATTCATTTTTGTGTAATTTATTTGACCAATAATGAAATTGCTTAAAAAACAATATAGTTTTAAAAATATTTTAAGTTAAAAAAAAAATTAAATTAGTTTTTTCAAATTTTTTAAATATTCATTTTTTTTTTGCATGATAATTTTTCCACATCACAAATTATTATTATTATTATTATTTATCAAAAATTTTGTATTTATTCGAAATATCTTTTGACGTAATTGTCATTTTGACGAACATGAACTTAATTTAATATTAATAGGATATAATTTGGCATAAATTTCACATGTCAATTAACAGTAATATGATTTGTCACAAAATCCTAGAAGAGAGAATTAAATATTAATTGATTTTACAGTGACACGTTATTCAAATGTTGAAATATAAACGATTTTTCTTTTTTACTTCTATTGAAATATTTCGAATAAATACAAAAAAAAAATAAAATAAAATATAATGCTATGGTTAAAAAAATAACACGAAAAAGAAAATTTTGATAAATATTGTCTTGGATTATTTATTTGAAAATAATAATAATAAGAATTTAATAACAGGACTCGGAGTGTATATTTTGAGAGAAAATTTTGTTTTACTGAATTCAAGTTGAAAACTTTTTCTAAGAATAATTATTTTATAGTAATAATAAAATATTTATTAAAAATATCGATTTTTTGCGTTCTTCTTTTTTGTTTTAAGAATGCAAAAAAATACTTTTTTGCAAAGTTAATCCGAGTCCTGAATTTAATTAATTAATTAATAATAATAATTTCTCTTGAAAGGATTTGTATATTAAGTAATTAATATTCTATTTCTAAACAGTTATAATCATTGCAGAGTGAGAGATTTTTGGTCAGAGCCGGGTCCAGCGGAAGTTCTCGCCAAATTGCGAAGAAAAGAAATTACACTTTTCAGAGCGGCCGAGTTCCTGAATGTAACCGTCCACACATTAGCCACATACCTCTCAACGCTACAGGGTCCCGATCGTATTTCGTTAGCGGGCGATTTAAGCGTCTCGGCAAGCAGTATGGATGGTAATAGTGAATTGGAGAATAATGATACAGTGAATGATATATTGCAAAAAATAAACGCGAATGTGAACGCGAATGCAACAACAGTCACGACTGCCACGACGTCAACACCAATAAAAAGGGAGGGCGGCGGTTATATTGATGTACCGAATGTTGTGCCGAAAGCGGCGACGTCCGTACTTGAGAACAATCCCGATATTACGATAGTCAAAACGGAGAATATATCGCGAAAACGTGAATATTCAAAAGTATCGAGTACAGAAAACAATAATGCAAAATTATTAAGTGGCGGTGCTGTCAGTGAAATGACATCACAACAACAACAACAGCAGCAGCAACAACAACAACAACAACAACAGCAACAACAACAAAAACTTTCTGAGCAATTGTCACTAAATAATGACATCAGTAAGCCCTAACTATTCAGGCCATATCTAACCCCGGCAAGCCTCCGAATACCGTATCCCGGATACAGATCTGAATTGTGTCCGCGTCGATTTTATTCAAATATTTTCACTCGTTTTCTCACAAATTTTCATTTAAAGTAGAAAAAAGAAAACAACAAATGAGCAAAAAGATATTTGTCATTTTTTTCAATTAGAAATTGCAAAAATTTTATTTTGCATATATATAAATTTTTTTATCATGACGATATTAAAAAAGGGAAAATTGTGAATTTTTTTTTTTTGGCACGCCGGAAATGTGAAGCAGCAGCTTGATCATTATTTCTCTCTCTATCTCTCTCTCTCTCTATCTTCTATTTTTTTTTTAAATGATTTTTAGCTGCCTTTTAACACTTCCTTCGTCGATATATATTTTATATATATATTTTTTTTAAGTTTCAAACGACGTAATCGAAAGGACAAATTCCAGAATTACGATTAGAGCTTAGTATTGATGTATTTATTACTTCAGAATTATTGATTCGCTTTATTTAACGGAAAAACTGACTTGCCCTTCGTAAAAAAAAAAGAAAAGAAAGTTCAACCGAAGTTCCTTTTGAAAATAATTGTCATATTGAGAGAATATCGTGAAAAAGAAAAAAAAATCTTAGAATATGTATGTTTGAACGTATAAGAAAAAAGAGCGACAATATCTCACTGTAAAGGCGCGATCTGAAGTGACCATTTTTGACCTATTTTTTTTAAGATTGTTAACACTAGAATATCTATTGGTTTTTATCTAGACAGACTGGTTTAAATCACGATATAATAGGGGTGTAAAACAAGAGAAACATTCTCGTAAAACAATTTAAATTTTTATTTTATCTGCATAAATTAATATTTTTTTCTTTATATTTTTATTATTCAAATATTTATATATTAATTATTGCCATAATTAATAATATATTAATTCTTAACTAAATGAATAATTTTAATATATTAAAAAAATTGTTTAAATGTTTCCCTAGTTTTGATTGCGCGCAGAACAAAAGTCTAATCGAGAAATGTATTTTTAATTTTGTTTTTTTTTTGACGAATGGTCAAGCGTGAAACGTTAATTCAAAAAGAAGAAAAAAAGAACGAAAGGCGAGTGCTTGCAAAAGTAATAATCTAAATCAGGAATTATTTCTTAACAACGCGTTTGAATTGTACAATTTTTATGATTTTTTTTTTTTTTAATATGATTTTTTCTTTCTATCTCTCTCTCTCTATCTCTATCTCTATCTCTATCTCTTTTACAACAGTGTAAAATAACGCACTTAGGAGTTTTAGAATTGTAACTATACATACGCGAGCTTTTTATATAAAAAAAAAAAAGAAAAAAAAACATTTTAAGTGAATTTTTTTTTTTATATTTCGGTTGAGAATTATTGACAAAAAAAAAATGACAAAGACAATTTGTTGAAATAAATACGAAAAATAACGTCCATTGTAAATATCAGTGCAATAGCGAGACCTAAAACTAAAATTAATATTATTTGTCACAAAAAAGAAAAACAAATGTTTAATCGCTATTTTACAATAATTGAGATGCCTGCTTTTACGTTATATTATTGCGTTGAAAACGCCGTAACAGGTATAAATGCTAGGGATTTAAAATTATCGCCAAATGCCTTATAAGGTACAAGGACGATGATTTTATTCAGTTTATTTTGTTACGAAAAACTTTTTGGACACAGTGTCATGGTCATCGTGCTTTTTTTTTTTATAAGGTACGATAAGAAAAAAAACAAAAAAAAAAGAAAAAAAGAAATAATCGAGAAAAGAAAAAAGACAGAAGCGTGACCGTACTTTTATTAATAACTTGTACTCCTTTGAGAAAATGACTGGAAATGAGTATTCCTGTTTGCTGAAGGTATAACTAAGTAAGAACTTAAGTATATATATATAATAGTAGAGGTATTCCCATTGATATTTTTGATGATGTAAGACTTTAAACATTAGTTTGCATCGAGACATTCATATATTATATATATATATATATATATATATATAAAAATATATATATTTTGGAGTATTTGTAAAGTAATCAGAATGAACGCGTCGCTCGACACAAACTTTACGATTACCTTTGCATTTTGAATGTAAAATTTTTTGTTTTTGAACCATTGCATAAATGAGAATAAGAATTATATTGTGATATGTGTATATACAGAATTGTAGATAAGAAGGCTGAGAGAGTAGGTGTCGATTACACTCGTCCAAAGTGTGCGGATCTCTATTGATACAATAAACGATTTCATCAGCAGAAATCAAAAAGACAAAAGGAAAAAAAAAAAAAAAAAAAAGAAACAGTCGAGCGGTCGCGAATTCAAATTCACAAAGACGAAGACAAGAGAATAGCGATTATAATTTCGATCATTAAGGTTTTATGACCCACGGGACGCTTGAATATTTTCTAAATTCTTCATTTTCAATCATGATTTTCATCATTTAAAAGTAATTATTAGAGAGAATTCGAATATTTGTCAATTGACATAACCTCTTTTAATATTTTTTCATTTACAATAATTTAAAACAAATAATTCACTATTATTATTAATTCGAAAATAAAATTTATACTGTCAAATCGAATAAAATATAATTATAATTTAAATATGCACACTAACCTCTATTCGGCAATCCAATTGTCGTTTACTCCGAACATAATTTTTGTACTCCAGAAACAATATTTGTCACAACTTGTAGTTTATAATATTATTATTACACTTTCACTTTGATGAACAATAATTTACCGTATCTTGAAACGTATTTATTAATTAAAAAAAAGTATAAATTTAATCAATTTACCACTCATCGACATCAACTGTTAGGGCGCACTCACACCTCTGGCTGCCTGCACAGGCAGCCAGTGAGAGCCAATCAGAGAGTCAGTAGATTTAAATTTGAATTTTCTGTCTCTCTTACTCTTGTACGTTTTCTGCGTGGTGGGAGGCTGCCTGTGCAGGCAGCCAGAGGTGTGAGTGCGCCCTTACTGAGTTGGCGCGTAACTGAAGTTAATCAAAGATCGAAACGATATATCGAATCTATATTGTCGCAATTCACCTATTGGTTGATTTTAAATTTCGCGCCGACATATCAAGCTCTGAATTCTATCATTATTTCCGTTTCGCGCCAATTCAATATTAGATTGACATTTTGAGAAAAATAGATAATAGAAAAATCAAAACAAACAAAAACCAGCCATCAGAGAAGAAATCGTTTAAATAAGTATTTTATAAGTACTAAAAAGACTGCCTTTTTATATTCTTTTTCATCAAAGTGAAAATAGTGTAAAAAAAAACATTTTAACGTAATTTAAAATATGAATCATTGTACAAATCATAACCAAACAAAAGTGAAAAAAAAGTGTAAAAGAAGAAAAATGATGGTTAATTCAAATTTCTGGGGTACAAAAATTTTGGAGTCACGAAGAAATATTACTATTATTATAAATTCAAGAATAAGGTTAGTTGTCAAATAAGTTATAATAAAATATTTCGAGGTTATCCCAGTTAACAAATTCAAATTGTAGGTTATCTTAGATCGATAATTTAAAACCAAACGATTATTTCAATAATAATAATTTAATCATAATAGTACTCACAAAGAATTTTGTAGATTCATGTGTCCCAATTTGTCATCCTTAACGATCAAAAATTCAATTCGCGTATCTTATTTAAGCATCCTTCAATGTACCTATAGACACATAAACAAAAAAAAAAGAAAAACTTTAGTTTATAAATGTTTGAAGTTTTTGAATACTTTACAAGCACTCTAGTTCAATTTATGTAATTTATAGAATTTTTTTTTTCTACGATTATTTTCACCCTTGACTATTTTATTAATTCATATAATTATAATATTTGTAAAACACACCAGCAATGAAAAAAAAAAAATGGTAGATCTGCTCATTTTATCGCGATTAATTTTTTTTTTTTTTTTATAAACATTCGAATCGAACTCATCGTGTCACATTGAATTTTCTGTATTAAATAACTAGGAACTCTTTCGTTTAATAAAATAAGACTAAGACATACCAAATGAGAAATGTAAGGACAAGTTTTGTTAGGTTTAGTAATATCGCATATCAAGAGAGCAAACAAAAAAAAAAAAAAAAAAAAAATACCTGCGCTGATGCACTCTGTATTGCCTATGCACGTTCCGACAAACAAAATAAAATAATAATAAAAAAAAAAAAAAAAAAATTCGGAACGCACGAGACCACATTTACTCTAGCAAGAGTATACGACTAGAAGTATTAATAATTAATATTGATAATCTAAATACCGACAGTCCGCAATGACTGGCCGTTACACTAGCGGCAACTACTTGTTCTAGATACGTTTTAATCCTATTGTTTCCCCCCCTTTTTTTTTATTTATTTTTTTTTTTTTTAAATAAATGTTTCCTTAAATTTATTCTTGCTACACAGCCACAGCGGAACAAATCTGCGTCATCTCGCGATCGATCATGGACTGTACATTTTCGTCTCCATTCCAATTTATCCATGATCGATCGAAAAATTATAGACATTTGAGAAAAAAAAAAAAACTCTTTTTTTCAAAGAAACTTGTATGTAACATAAATCTATTTTCAACGACATCTGGATAAATAAGCAATAATTATCCAGAAAGAAGATTTTTCTGTAAAATTGATTTTTATTTTTTTATAGACAATTTATATATCAGAGACTAAAATTAAGGGATATTATTATTATTTTAAATATCGATTCTCCGAGTGGAAAAGAGCTTTTTATCATTTTTTTAAATTGTATTTTTTTTCGGCGCTCGTTTTATATATAAAAAAAAGAAAATAACGCTTGCTAAGCGTTTATGTATGTTTATAATAAGCGTTTTTATAAACACTTCTTAAGCGTTTAATGTGTAAATTAAAAAAAAGAACAAAAAATAAAACGAAAAATTTGTCAAGCGTTTTTTTTTTCATGAATACTTTTGTTAAAAAAAAAATAATAAGGCCATTCATTCGGACATTCTTGTATCATAATTGGAGTATCTGTTTAAAAAATCGGGAGATGCGTGACCGCATTGACATTGTACGAGAAAACAGGACAAGACTATAGCCTATGGGCAAATGATGCCACATAATTGCGGCTATCGCACCATGAGACTAAAAAAAAAAAAAAAAAAAAAAAATCTATATCATAATTATGTGTCGTTTAATATAAACGAAATAAAATAGTATGTATCATCGTTTTATACACAAACCTAATTATAAACTACGTACACTATGTACATTCCTAGTATACACGCTCTCATTATCATACACATTGCATTACACGCGCATACGACGTATGGACCCATTATATATAATATATATATATATTTATAATGACTATATATATATATATAGTTAATCCAATTGGACCACCGTAACATCGGCATACTGAAATCATTAAATTAATATTAAATTCACGAAAAAGAAAAAAAAAAAATATGCGCATGTATCATCGGTGATAAAAAAAAAACAACAACAAAAGTAATGCTATTCGATGGAAAAACGATATGGCTGAAATAAATCTTTATAAAAAGACAGTAAAATTTATTTTTTTTTTTTGGTCAAATTATGCTAATCACTACAAAATAGTAGATATAAAAATTTTTTCAAAAAAATTTTTTTATTTTTAATAAACTCTTAATTCGAAACAAAATATTCCCAAAAAATCATGTTTGAATTTTTTATAAAACGATATTTTTTATTTATTTACAAAAAAAATTCAAATAATTTATCTAATTGAAAATTTTCTAATAAAAATGCAATTTAAGGCCAGGTCCATGTTGTGTCAGCTGTTCCATTGAAACTTCAAAGGAACAGCTGATTCGACTTTGACCTGGCCTTAATAGATGTTTATGAAAAATTTTATAAATTTTATTCTATGAAAATTTAGTAGAAATAAAAATTTGAACTTCGGTTTTTTTAGGGAATAATAATAATAAAAAGAATTATCAAACTTTTGGACATAAATATAATATCATTATATTTATAATTCTAATATATTAATTCTATTATATTTATAATTCCATTTGAATTTTGCTATTAATTGAAACTATTATATTTATAATAATTGAAAATATTGAATTTAAAAAAAAAAGACAAAGGGACGTGTTTATGTACCTAATTAACAATTGAACAGGAATGGGACTTTTTAATTTCTACAATAAAAAGCAGCCATTCGACTTTCTTCGTTAAATATGAAAAAAAAAAAATACAAGTAATTTTTTTTTTTAATTGCTCAATTCAATAAATGAATGATTTTTTATTGAAATTTTCTCTTTTTTTTTCAAGTATGCGAGTGCTAAGAAATTTTTATTTGTTTTTTTATAGCGATAGCCTATTATATTATATATATAGTATATATTCGAAATGGTGACAGATGTGAAGAAAGTCACAATAGTCTCTGTATTTAATTTATTTTTTACATTAAAAAAATTATTTTAGAACTTAAAGTTTATCTTTTATTTGAATAACGCGTGTATAAATAACAAAAGATTTTGAATTTATGTGACACTCTAAAAATTAAAAGATACAGAATTAAATTATACAATTTTTGAATTTTTAAAAAGAATTCGATTAAAATTAATTAAATTATTAATTAAATTACTAAATAATCAAGAATTTGAGAAATTCCCGATTATTCAAGATATTGTAATTTTTTTTTTTTTTTTTTTTTATTGTACTATTGTATATTCGCATTTTTCGAAAAAAATTTATTGATTCTACTGAACAATTATTTTTGACTATCGAGGGAATAATAAATAAAGATTGATATTTCTTAAATAGTCAGCAACATGCAATACTTCTTGAAAGAGAATATTACCTTAGTTATAATAATATTTAAGTGCAAACCTTCTTGAACTGTAAATAACCCACTTTGAAAAAAAAAATGTTTTTTAATGTAAAAAAAAAACCTTCGTATTTTCTCGTGAAATTTCAGCAGTTTTAATAAAATATAATTGGAAATAGTGAATATATAATGCGAAAGTAGCAAATTCATTTTTCACCGATGGCCAAAAAAAAAAAAAAAAAAAAAATTACACGACACACAAAACATTCTCCTACCCCCCCAGAGACTGTAATTTTATTTCTTTTTTATTTAATTTTGTTTTATATAGTCAAATATTTCAACGATAGAGAATAATGTCTATAAAATATGTAAAATCCGACATTATTCTCTAAAAGCGTGAAATATCATTTCTTAGCCAAAGTTTTGTAGGGTTTGCGTTTTGTAGAATTTTATTTTCTCTCTCTTCCCATTTTTTTTTCTAACTCGACACATGATAATATTAATAATTATTTTAATTATATAATTATTTTTTTTTTTAATTATAAATATGATTATGATTATTATTGAAATAATCGTGGTAATTTTTAGACTATAGAGGAACAATATATTTAGTGAATAGAGATTAAAGAAAAAAAAAAAGTATACTTAATAAAAGTAAAGTATATATATAAAAAAAAAATATATATATATATATATATTGATAAAATATTATCGAGATCGCAATTATAGAGATTGGATCAAGTGCATATAATGCTAGGGACGAAAAAAAAATGGAATTTTTTTAAAAGGAAAGTCGCTTTTTACGAGAGATGGTTACAAAGTAGAATTCATTAGGGAATTTCTACTCGCAGAGAATTTTCATTGATTGAACAAAAAAAAAAAAAGAAAAAAGAAAAAGATCAGTAAGTAAGTGTAAATGTTTGTAAACAAATTATGAAACATTATTATGTTCAGTGCCTACATATTTACACAATAATAATAATAAAGATGAAGAATAGAGAAGTTGTGCCATTTTTCTGTTTTGCCATTCACCTCACCTTGTTATTTGTGCATTTTAATTAATTTCTTCTTTTACATTTATAAAATTAATTTTGCTTCTCTTCTCATCAATCATTTTAATTACATTCACAAAAAATAAAAATTGTTTTTAATTTTTCATAATCATAAAAAATCACATTATACATAAAACATTGCACAGGTGAAATAATTATTTTTTATTTGCAAAAAATGGTTTTTTTTTTTTTTTTTATTCTCTTTGGAAAATTATAATTTTTTTAAATTTATATATTGGCAAAATTATAAATTTTCCAAATTTTGGTTTAATAAACTAAATTTCAAATTTCATTTATTAACATAGAAAAAATTTTAGTCTATTATTAAATAACCCTTTGATTTTTAAATTAATTAATAATGGCGCTTAGTTGAAAGAAATATTTTTTTAATTTACCATTAAGAAATAATATTTGTTTTCTAAAATATTAAGTAAATTTATTTTCTCTAATACGCAAAAGAGAATGCATTCTGCAATAAAACTTTCCAGTCAGTTTTTTTTTTTCTTTGTTTTCATTCTGTTTTGTCCGTTACAAATTCTAAATATATCTCAGCAGTTTTTTTTTTTCTAATATTTCCCTATTGGCCAATTAGGTGTGTTTACCTTGTCATTGGAGTGAGAGGTAACTGCGCATTATAATTCAAAAAATTAAACTGCCCTATAGACTTTCTTTTGTTTTAAAATCGCTTTAAACATAGCTATAATGCAAATTAATAGAATGTACCTTTTAATTTTTCCAAGATATTTAAAAGCCAAACTTACCTAATAGAAGAAAATTCATTGGAAATTAGTGTTATTTAATATTCTTGGGAAAATTACGCATATTCCTGGAATTGAGAATCAATTTCTATTGGTCGGAGTCTCTTTTCTCTCCCTACTCCTTTCTTTTAAGGGGTGGTAGCATCTTCAGATTCTTCAAGTCCGCTTAGCCGGCCGGCATATAGCCTGGGATAAATGAATGCCAGATTTCAATAAGTGAAGTAGTCTTTTTTTTTTTTTTTGAAAATTGTGTTTAATGCGGCGAGTTTTTTTTTAAAATCAATTTTTAAGATTTTTTTTTTTTTTGCAATATAATTAGTAGTGCAAACATGATGAAGTATACAATTCACACGATCATTTTACCTCACACAAATGTGCAGCCAACTTTTGTGCAACAAAAATTACCGTGGCCTCAACAACATGCGCTACAACAAGCGATAATTAATGCAAGACCAAATGAAAATGAAGCGGCGAAATTTTTTCCTCTTCATTTATCACTTGAAGATGAAATTAATAGATTATTAATTTCTGATGCTCGTGCGACAGCTAATTGGGGTTCAGCATGTAAACGTAAGTACAATTTTTCAATTTCTCGCTAGTCCACGTTTTTCGTTAAGAATCTTCATCATCGATATATCATTTTTTTTTGTCTACTTTCTACTTGTTTTTTATTTATTTTTTCACATTTATCGTTGTTTTCTTCATTTTATGCATATTTTGAATTTAAAATTTATTTTCTCCGCGTGTCAAATTTATAATCTCTATTTCTTCCGTACTTGTAATAATTGATTGTATTTTGTTTCTTTTAATTGTTTAAAAAAAAAAATTCGTCTAGTTTTTCTTAATTTTTTTTTTTGTGTATTTTAATCTAAAAAATAGTTTTTCCGCCTGTCAAATTGACATTTATTTTCTAACCTGATTTTTTTCCCGAAGCGTACATAGAAGAAATGATTATATTTTGTTTTTGTTTGTTAATTGTTTAGTATTTTATCAATTATAAAGTAAAAATTAGGAATTATCTGTAGATTATTAAAGGTCTTTTCAATTTCGTTGAAATTTGTCGAAAATAATAAATTTTCAAACAATTTAAATGGTAAATATATTATGTTTGATTTCATTTAGATTTAATTCGCAATGATAAACAAAGAATTGAATTAATATAGATAGATTATATTTCAATGACAAAAATCTAATTAAAAGTTAATAGCCTTAAAGTTTTGCAAAATTTATAGAACTTTTTATTTTCAAATATTCTGTAAAATTTTATAAATTGATAATTTTTATAAGAATAATTTTATTGTTTCATAATAAATTTTAAAGAGATTTGTAAATTTTTAGTATATGTAAGTAAATAACTTTCGCTTTTGTGTGTATTTACGTTTGAGAAGTTGGTGCGACAGAATCTATTTTGCTTTGTTTCCGTCGAATGCTAGAAAAAATTGGTACTGACCTATTTATCAGATGTAAACATATTCTAAAGTATTTTTTTTTTTTTTGTGTAATTTAATTTGTACCAGAGAATAATGCGAAAATTTTTTTTTATCTTCCACTGAAATCTGTTAAAATATTTTTTTTCTTTATAACGTCCGGATGAAAAAAAAAAATGTCATTATCTTAGTGAAAATTTATTTTCTACTATTATTTACAATATGAAATTATGAGTAATTTTTTGTGTGCAATTTAAAAAAAATTTTTAATATTTAGTAATTTTAATAGTTGACTTTTTCTTGATCAAAGAATATAGAAATAATAATAATAACAATGTGTAGATTACGATATAAACATATAATAACGAAATTGTGCATTATTTTCAAAATAAGTCAACTATAAAGTAATTTGAAATTTATCTTAATGTCTAAATGTTTATTATTTCGAAATGATCATATGTATGGAAAATTGAGATCCTATTTGTATTTCTAATCAGGATTTATTCCTTTAGATCAGATTTTGAAAATAAATATATATCTTTTCGACGAACTCGTGCGTTTAATTGATTGTTTATAAGAAATATTCAAACTTCACTGATTCACCAATATATATATATATATATACTCAGTATTTGTTATATTTTGAAAAATATCTTTCTAATTTTGAGAATAAATTTTTGTCAATTAACCCTTTTAATTATTTTCTTTTTAATATAAAGAAATACTGTTTTTTTTTTGTAATTGAGAAAGCAATGGTTTAAAATTTTTTTAGCCGATGTGATGGACGAATTTAGATCAAATGGGAGGGATTATGAATTCTTGTCTGACAATGAAGAGGACACCCCGAAACCTTTGCCAAGGAGGCGAAAAAATAAAAAACCACTTCCGACGGAATGTGTTTTTTGCAAAAATAACGGTGAACAACCGATGTATTACAAGAGTCATATTCTTAAAGATGGCGATGGCAAAGTCGTCTGTCCAATTTTAAGGTAATAAAATAATTATTCTTGTTGCTCTTGTGTTTAGAAACATGTGTTTCATTCTTCTATTTATTTTCATACTTTAGAATTTTATAAATTCATTTCTTAAAAATACCCTTTCTTTAAATTTGTCTGCAATAAAACGAAATTTTCCAGCCTAAAATTGGAAAATTCTATTTGCATTATTATATTGTATAGAGAGGCCCATGATCATAAAAAAGGGGTTTTGAGTTTACAAAAAAAAAAAAAAAGGAAAATAAATATGTGAATAATAAAAACCCATTTTTTTTTACAGAAGGTACCAATGTCCCATTTGTCAGGCACTTGGGGATGATTCACATACACTCAAGTATTGTCCTAAAAATCCAAAACCTTCCGGAGTGCCAATTGTTTCGGCATTGAAAACGTTGCGAAACAGCAGCGGAAAGAAAGGCCGGTCGAAATAAGATTTCAACGACATTCTTTTCTTCTCAAGTATTATTAATTATACGTTAATTATTAATAGAATTTAAGTTAATGCATTATAATCTTAATTGGAAAATTGTCTTACAAGTGTGCGCAATATTTTTCGATTTTCAAATGAAATTTAGAAATTTGAAAAATATTGGCATTTAGTCGACTCGTAAACAATTTTTTTTTATTCTCCAAAAATTAGATTAATTAATGCATTTAATTAATATATAAGTTGAGAAGTTATTTATCAAAAGAAAAAAAATTTATCAAGTTATATTCTCGAATTGAGATAAAAAAAAATGTTGCACGGCTTGATCATGTGTTACGGATTTTGATATATTTTGATATAATACGCCCATTATATATATATATATATACATATAAATTTGTCAATTTTTTGAATACCAAGTATTCAATCGTAAAAGAAAAAAAAAATCAGTTAAATTAAAAACAAAATAATTAAGTTTTTGAATGTTCAATTATTTTTTGCAATCGAAGTATTTGAAATTTTGATTTTTGACGATTTAAAAAAAAGAAAAACAAATTTCATGACAATGAACATTAACAAATTTTATTAAAAGAGAACAATAATCAAATGGCACTGAAATTTGACAATAATTCCTTGTATAATGTAAAAATTATTTATATTTTTATTTGATTACGAAACTTACTAATATTTCAATTATAAAAAAAGAGAAATTACATTTTCTAAAAATGCTAATTTTCTAATTAATTTTGAAAATTTATATTTTGCAGGTTCAAAGTATTAAAAAAGAAATTTTTTTTCAAATAAATTAAAAACTAATAAAATTTTCTTTGTCATATATTAACAAAGAATAAAAAAAATTACAAATAATTTCCCATTAAATAGCAAATTTTCATTCAAAGATCAAATCTTGATTAAAATTTAAATACATAGTGAAATAAATAGATTTAAAATAATTTATAATTTTGAAAATGAAAGTGCTTTTTGATATTTTTTAATATGCATGAATTTTCTGTTTTTTTTTCTTTTTAGTTAGATGTCGAAAAAATCTATACTAAAAAGGTTCTTTTTTTTTTTTTACTTTAATTAATGTGTGAAAGAAGATATATACTAATTAAATAATAGATCATGTACTTATTTCATTAAGAAATAATAATTAAATTGTTTCTAATTATCCATTTAATCATGAAAAATTACAGAAAAAAAAATTAATAATAATTTATAAAATAGAAAAACGATTTAAAACCCATAACAAGATAAAATATGAAAATGTTTGTCAGTGACCAGTTTCATATTTCCATTTTATTTTATTTCTCGGTTTCGAGACTTATAGCAGATAAAGATTTATGATTCTCAAAATGTCTTTAAAGACGAATTTTCAGTACATTGGAGGTCATCCAAACAATATGTACTGTAGGTAGGACAGTTTATTTACATTTTAAACCATAAATGGGGTTCTGATTTCTTTCCACGTATTAGGAGCATATGCCTTTTTGACTTATTTAAAAGTTTGACATTTTTTTTTTGTTTTTTTATTTCTCAAAAATGTGTGAAGTTAATTTTTTTTTTTTTTTTTTTTTTTGGTTTCAAATAGAAGAAGAGAAAGAAAAATTTACACATTTATAACTTAACACAATGTCATGTCCGTGCAACTAAATAAATAAAATAATAAAATGCATATTCAACTAATTTGTACAAAAAACAAAAAGAAAAATTTTTATTTAAAAATTATATATTTTTTTTCTTTTATTAATTATCGGCGATAAAAGTAAATGAAAAATATTTATTTTTTTTCAAATTTTTCTTTTTTGACATGTCAATTATTTGATATGTATTTTCATGGTATATATATATATTGATAAGATAATAATTATTAATGTATAATGAAAGTTTTACATTGAAAAAAAAAAAATAATAATTTACGAAATAATGAAAACAAGAAATCGAATATAATTAATTATAACATTTTCTATATTTCAATTTGCAGTTTAATGCTCAAAACAGAATTGTATAAAATTTAATCCTCTTCACGTTTTTTGTATCAATATAATTAATATATAATTATATGGGTACGATTTTATAATCGCCTTTTACTTTGATTTTACAATTTCTTTGTACGTCGATATTAACTTTTTGATTATAATAATTATATACCTCAATGTATTTTGTCTTTCGTTTAAATGATGAATGTTTAAATAATGAATATTTAACAATAAAAAAAATTTTGTACATTATATTTGACTTTTCATTTAGTTTTTTTTTTCCTTTCAATATATTAAATGAATTTCCGCTAAAACTAAAACTTTTTATTGGAAATTAAATTTTAATTACTATTATCACGTGTTTTTTTACATTATACGATTAAATAAATGTAATCGATAATGTAGCAATATAAATTTTTTAATGTGAACAAATTATTACGTTTATATCAGAATGAGTTCATGTAAATAGATTCGCGGTAAATGTGTTTATAAATTCTTTGCCAAAGATAATAATGCGAATAATGTCCGCATAGGTATGACATAAAAAAAAAGGGTTTGTCAGTTTCCATCAAGTTAGTTTACAGAAAAGTTGTAGAATTTAATATTGCTATTTTATTTTTAATTTCGTTAAATTAAAATAAAATAGCAAATATTTATAACAAAGAGAATTTATTTCTATAAATATTGATTTCTATTTTATTTTTCTAAATTTTTACAAATGTTTATTATAAATATTACAATGAGAAGAAACGAAACATTCGGAAAAAAATGTAATAATTGGCAAAAATGTGCCAGGTACGAATATTATAACAGAGAGTAATTATCTCAGCTAGGTTTTAGATTAGAGGGAATATGTGATCAACGAGACGTGTCGACGTTAGACAATATACATATATATATCCAATATATGTTGATCTGATTTGGCATATATGTATTCTTTATAAAATTCAAGGGATTACCAAACATCCGACATAGTTTATAAAAGGCATCAGCATCCTCAAAATTACGTCATATTGAAACAATGACTTCGAGTGGCATGTTGCGATTTTTTTTACTAATGACAATATTAATGATAAACGATGTTAGTTTAGAAGATGAACAACAAATTTCAGAAACAAATTTAACATCTTTTGATCCAAATCTTTATCCACCGGTTGAAGGCGACTTAAGATTTGGCGGTTCTTCAGGATTATTTTTTCTCCATTTATTGAAACACAAACTTTATAAATTAAAACAATTGGAAAAAATTCAAACCACCACCACTGTTGGTCCACCTGGATGTATTTGTGTTCCCTACTATCAGTGTGATATCAATAATAATATCATTCTCACCGGAATGTTGGGACCTCTCGATGTTCGGTATGTATTAATTTTTTTTTAGAATTAAATTCTGTAAAATTAAGTATATTTTTTTTCAGATCTCGTCAATGTACTGGAAATTTTGAAGTTTGTTGTTATTTGAGAATTGTGTCAACCACAACTACATCAACGCCACCGCCGACAATGACTCCGGCACCAACACCAGCTCCAACGCCGGCACCAACACCAGCGCCAACTCCGGCACCAACGCCAGCGCCAACACCGGCACCAACACCAGCGCCAACTCCTGCACCAACTCCTGCACCAACACCAGCGCCAACTCCGGCACCAACTCCCAGACCAACTCCGAGACCAACGCCACCGCCAACAATGACTCCAAGACCAACTCGTCCACCAACGGTACAACCAACATTTTTCCCACCCAATTATTGCCTCTGCGTTTATACATTTCAATGTGTAAACGGTTATATTGTTGGCAATCCAATAACCACTTATCCCGGTACAAATCCATTAAATCCATTGAATCCAAGACAAAATCAAGTTTGCCTTTTACCTAATCAAATTTGCTGTAAAGTTTTTCCCTATCCAAATATACCAACAGGCGCAGCACCTCGTCCTTCTCCAATTGCAACTATACGTCTACCATCATTGGATCCACGACCAAATACACTTGCCATGAATTCACCAACTCTACCCACTTGGCCTCAAGTTCAAAGTCAAATTTCATCTGAACAAATGAATTTTATGCCAGGACAAACGTGCATTTGCATTCCGAATATACAATGCAATATTCTTGGTTATATTGCAATAAGTGGCACTGGTAGTTTTAATCCACTGTTCAGTACGGGTACATTGGTTCCAGTTGGAAGTTTTTGTCCAAATCTTCATGAAACATGTTGCAAAGTTATTTTCACACAATCAAAACCACAATTACTCTCTGCTGATAATATGCAAATTAATAATCAGGATGGTATTCTATTTTCTGGAACACAGGATGCATGTAAATGTGTTCAATCATCGATTTGTCCTGGGGAAAATGTTGTCTATCAAGAAGGATACGAGGGAATTGATGCTGGTTTTGCATTATGTAAAAATGAAGGTGAAGTTTGTTGCAGAATCATTGGTGCATCAACTATCGCTACTGCTACTGTAGCAGGAAATAGTGTATTTTTTGATAGTCAATGTGGATTTTCGACTAATATTTTTGCACCAGGTAATATTTTTTTTTATTTTTTAACTGACAATTTCATTTATTTTTTGGATTGAATAATGATTTTTGGAGAGTTTCGAACTTAAAACTGATTTTTCGTATCGAAGAATTGTTTTTTGTAGTGGAAAATAATTTTCCAAATGAATAAATTACTTTTTGAATTGGAAAATAATATTTCTAGCATTGAATAATCATTCTTTGAACTGTAAATCATTTTTTTAGATTAAAAAATAATTTTCTCTAATGAAAAATCATTTGGTGTATCTAAAAATCATTTTCGAATCAAAAAATTGTTTATCGAATTAAAAAAATCGTGAATTGAAAAATCGGTTGTCGAACTTAAAACTGATTTTTCGGATTAAAGAAAATTTATTTTTGAAGTACAAAATAATTTACTTTCTGAAGTGGAAAAAAAAAATTTCTAGCATCGAATAATCATTTTCCAGATCGAGAAATAATTTTCCCTACTAAAAAATCATTTGGTTGATCAAAAAATTGTTTATCGAATTTTAAAAGTATTTTTTGAATCGAAAAATCGTTTTTCGCACTGAAAAATGATTTTTCAAATAAATAAATTACTTTCTGAATTGGAAAATAATATTTCTAGGATTGTATAATCATTCTTTGAACTGTAAATCATTTTTTTTAGACTAAAAAATAATTTTCTCTAATGAAAAATCATTTGGTGTATCTAAAAATCATTTTCGAATCAAAAAATTGTTTATCGAATTAAAAAAATTATTTTGTGAATTGAAAAATCGGTTTTCGAACTTAAAACTGATTTTCCGGATTAAAGAAAATTTATTTTTGAAGTACAAAATAATTTACTTTTTGAAATGTAAAAAAAAATTTCTAGCATCGAATAATCATTTTCTAGATCGAGAAATAATTTTCCCTACTGAAAAATCATTTGGTTAATCAAAAAATTGTTTATCGAATTTTAAAAGTATTTTTTCAATCGAAAAATCGTTTTTCGAAATGAGAAATGATTTTCCAATTTGAAAAATTACTTTCTGAATTGGAAAATAATATTTCTAGCATTGAATAATCATTCTTTGAACTGTAAATCATTTTTTTAGACTAAAAATTAATTTTCTCTAATGAAAAATCATTTGGTGTGTCTAAAAATCATTTTCGAATCAAAAAATTGTTTATCGAATTAAAAAAATCGTGAATTGAAAAATCGGTTGTCGAACTTAAAACTGATTTTCCGGATTAAAAAAAATTTATTTTTGAAGTACAAAATAATTTACTTTCTGAAATGGAAAAAAAATTTTCTAGCCTCGAATAATCATTTTCCAGTTCGAGAAATAATTTTCCCTACTGAAAAATCATTTGATTGATCAAAAAATTGTTTATCGAATTATAAAAGTATTTTTTGAATCGAAAAATCGTTTTTCGAACTGAGAAATGATTTTCCAAATGAATAAATTACTTTCTGAATTGGAAAATAATATTTCTAACATTGAATAATCATTATTTGAACTGTAAATCATTTTTTAAGACTAAAAATTAATTTTCTCTAATGAAAAATCATTTTCGAATCAAAAAATTGTTTATTGAATTTTAAAAGTATTTTTTGAATCGAAAAATCGTTTTTCGAACTGAGAAATGATTTTCCAAATTGAAAAATTGTTTTTCGAACTTAAAATTCATTTTCCATGTCGAAATATCGTTTTTGGAATTGTAAAATATTTTTTTATGCTATTAGAGGGAAACTAATATTGTAAATTCTATTTGTAGAGGAACCTTTTCCAGTAACTTCCGGAAGAACATATTTTGCAGAATTTCCATGGATGGTGGCCATTTTACTTCGATATTTTGGACGAGATGATGCATTTCTTTGTGGAGGATCGATGATTAATTCTAAAATTGTACTCACCGCCGGACACTGCATTCAAAAGTAAGTCTTTTTTTTTTTGTTTCAAATTAATTAATTAATTAATTATGATTTTCTATTTTTAGTCGGAGTGTTAGCAATTTAATCGCTCGTTTTGGAGAGTGGGATACAAAGACAATTGAAGAGCCATTGCCTTTTCAAGAGATTGAAATAGAGACAGTGATTATACATCCAGATTTTTTTAACGCTGCATTATATCATGATGTGGCAATATTACTTTTGAAAAAGGCCGTTACTTATTCGATTAACGTAATGCCAATATGTTTAGCATTTCAAGAACAAGAATTTAGTTCTGGAACAAGATGTTATGCTACCGGATGGGGTCGTAGTGCATTTGGTAAGAAAATCATCAAAAATTATCATTTAATTATATATTTCAATATTTCTTAAGACACGCATAATTTCAAGGTATCTAATTTAATAATATCGGTAAAAACAGAATTTTTTGTTTACAACTTTCCAATTTAAAATTTTATTTACTTTTTTTTAATATTATATAACAATATTACTTAATGTAATTAAAAATTTCAATATGTATCGAAAGAGAGCTTTTTAATTATGTAAAATTTTGATTTTTAATTAAGGTTCTGATGGCGAGTATCAATCGGTTTTGAGAAAAATTGATTTGCCATTAATTGATAATGAGGAATGTCAAAATCGTTTGCGAAAAACGAGATTGGGAGAATATTTTATACTTCATGGAAGTTTTATTTGTGCTGGAGGAGAAGGTAGTCGAGATACTTGCAGAGGAGATGGAGGAGGTCCTTTGGTTTGTCCAATGACCACGGGACAATATGTACAGGTATTTTTTTTTTAAATATAAAAAATTCTTGGAATTTACAAAAAAAAAAAATGAATTCAATTTCAAAGTTGTTGATAAATTTCTCAGGTTGGAATTGTATCCTGGGGTATAGGATGTGGTACACGAAATCCTGCAGTTTATGCAAGTGTCGCTAAACATAAATTATGGATCGATGAACAAATTGCTAATTACGGAGTATAAATTTTAATAATTAATTTATTTGCAATTAAGTGAGTTGAATCTAGTCCGCAATAATTTTTATAATAATTTATTTAAGAAAACGTTTTTATTTTTACGTATTCGATTTATAATTATATATTTATAATAATGCGTCAATAAGTAATGAAACTTAAATTCGATTTTCTGCGAAATTACGAAGAATATTTATAATAAATTAATTGTACGCTATTAATTTTGAAGGATAAAGGAAATACAAATAATATTATACTATAACGATTAAACTTGTTTCAGATAAGTGTTTATAATGTTTAATAATATATGCAAAATTTCAGTCGACTACCTTGACCTGCTCTTAATAAGTTCGGGATTTTACTTATATTTGCAGATTAATTTACAATTTTTAAATTAATTTTTTTTAATATTAAATAAAAATTTGTGGGAAAAAATTCTTTTTTTTCTATCTTATCTTCTTGTCACATTTTCTTTTTCTTTTTTAGCTTTTCTCGATTATGAATCACATTTTATAATTTAACGAAAAAAAAAGTAACCGTTCCGGAAATACCGGAAAGTTATATTTTTATTCAGAGATGTCAAGGAAAAATCACAATTCCTCTCGCGGCCTTTCCAAAGCTTCGAATAAACATTTTGTAGAGACACTAACGTCACGTGTTTAAATCGTCTTCAAGGAAGGGAAAGGATTCTATTCAACTGTATGTGCAAAAGTAGGGATGCCAATGATTTCAGATTGAACACTTAAAGAACTCAGTCCTCATCCAGGTCTCGGTAAAGACGCTTTAAGTCTTTTCCAAGTCAATCTTAGTTACTGGTGAGTAATCAAATTAAAATTTATTTTTTCTAAACAATAAAATAAATCTTACAATTCTTTTTAAAAATCACTTTTTATTTGATTTTTTTACTATTTTCCTGTAACTATTAAATTACTAATGTCTATTATGGGGAAAACAAATTTTCAAACATTTAAAAACAAATATTCATAAAAGTTTTTAATGAAAATAATTAGTTTCTAATTCTTATTCCGCTAATTAATTTTATATTTTAATTAAATATTTTTAATACAAAAAAAAAGGTGAATTATAAAATCATCAAGCATTGAGAATAAGAAGTTTGTATGAAGACTATTTTGATCTTGATAATTACGTACCGGTTTCCGACCGGTTTTCATCAATATAAAGTACGGTGTCATGTGCGATTTATACAATTATATTGCATTTTTTCAATGTCGTGAACATTTTTATCTTAATAATATTTTTTATTATAGAGAATTACTCAAGTTTTCTTTATTTCTAATTGAAATTAATGACAAAATATACCTCAATATTTCTACGTTGTATAAATAATTTAAAATCCAAATAAAGTTAAAAAATTAATTGAATTTTTCACCTTGTGATATTATTGTAAAAAAAGTATCACTAGGGGAAAATAATTTTTCAAAAAGTGGAAAACAAATTTCAAACGTAATTTTTATGAATGACGTATTATCAATGCGGAAAGGTGTTTTATTTATTGTGTGTGTATGTTATATTTCTGGATTTGACTACTTTTTTTTTTTTAATATTTTCAACGTTGTGAATTTTAAATTAGAATCATTTTCTGCTGAGTAATTTCCTTTTCCAATTAATTCAACTCATTGTTTTGTCTTTGTATTCAAAAACATGAAATTTTTTTTCTCAAACACCTATACAAGGTGAAACAAAATTAAGTTTCTATTACTCATTCAAATTATATTTTTTTATACGTACGGTGGGTAATTATTCATTTAAAGCGTAAATATTAAAAGTCGATTTCAATATATAAATATAAATTAATTAAATGTGTTTCAATGTAAATAAATTCATTGATTTGAATTTAAATTTAAATACAAATTCGATGTAATTAATTTAAACAATTTCAATTTAATTGTGGAGACAAAATTTTTGATGAAATAAATTTCTAAGTTTTATTTTGAAATAATTTTTTTTTTAAAAGTAGTGTTGAAATTTGTATGAGATTTTTTTTGCAGGTCGAGGTTACAAATGAATTACCTGCTTTAACCGGTGTTTCACAAAATTCGGGGATTTCCCTCTTAATTTACCTGACGCTCACGATCGAAGTCAGACTTTTTTTATGCATCTGTTGCTGAGTTCATTTCGTAGAATTTTTTTTTTATTTTTAGTTCAAATTAATTAATTTTATAATCCAAAACTAATATTTTTTTTTTGTACTTTTATCTAAATTATCTTTGTTTTTATTCTAATTATAAAATTGTCTAAAAAATTATTAAATCATTATTTGTTACTTTCACTGATAATGTGAGAATTTAAATATAAAGATTACGACATTTTTAGAGACATGCTCTCAAAGCGTCAAATGACCTTCTAATCTTTTATTTTGTCTGTTGAATTTTAAAATATTTCTTCGCTGATCAGTAAATTCTCAAAATTTAGAAAAAACGTTCTTTTTTATATACAAAAATTTTTTTTATTAAAATACTTTCAAAAAATAGAAATAATTTATTTTTGTAAACTAAAATTTTTTTTGTTTTTAATTGTTACGTTCGCAGATTTTAAGAATTTGGCTTTTTAATCAGTGAAAAATTTTCTTTACTACAATAGATTTAGAATTATATTCTCTTCGAATTTTTCCGTTTATTAAACTGTTTATCAGAAATTCAAATTACAAACATGAATTTTGAAGAATCACTTAATGTAAATTATGAAATTTTTTTTTATAATACATTAATGATTCTTTGAAAATTCTTATAATATGAAAAATGAAAAATAATGAACAATTTAATAAATTGTAAATTGACGTTTCCAGTTTTTTTTTATACAATTTATTATCGTTGATTTCATCATTTTGAAAATGATTTATTTTTTATTTTGCAGTCGTAAATTTTCAAACATGTGGTTCTTACGTGCCACGTCAATTTTCTTCCTCATTGGAATTTGTTCAGCAGCTCCTCAACAAAGTTCTGGTAATTTTATAATTTTAATTAATTAATAATTAATTTTCTTGAATTTCATTAGATATCAAAAATTTGACAAAATTGATTTAAATTATTTAAATTTATTTATTTTTTAGGTGGAAATTTGGATACATTAGTTGACAATGTATTTAATCAGGGAAAAGCTTCTCAACCAGCAACAAGTTCCACCGGTGAAAATGCAAATTTAGACGATTTAATTGACAGTGTATTTAATCCTAAACAAAATTTAGGAAATCCCACACCGACAACAATTCTTGGCACTGATACTCAAAAAAATAATAAACCAGATGATTGCGAATGCGTTCCTTATTATCAATGTCAAAATAATACAATCATAGACAATGGAATTGGAATTATCGATATTAGGTTTGTAATTGTTTTACCAAAAATAGTAAATATAATTTATTAAATATTTAATTAAATTCTTTTCAGAATTCAAGGAGTTTGCGAAGCGTATTTAGATATATGTTGCAAAATTCCCGATGTCATTAAAGATCCAAAAGATAAAATCACACCACCCCCACAAGTTCGTAAGGGTTGCGGTCAACGTAATCCAGACGGTGTTGGATTTCGTATAACTGGCTATAAAGACAATGAAGCTCAATTTGGCGAATTTCCATGGATGGTGGCTATTTTGCGAGAAGAAGATTTTAGTAATACTGGCCAAAAAGTCAATTTTTATCAATGTGGAGGCGCTCTTATTCATCGACAAGCCGTTCTTACAGCCGCTCATTGTGTCAATGGGTAATTGAAAATTTAAATTTGCCTTATTTCAAAGATAAATATTCAATTTTATTTTTTTTTTTTAAATGTTTCTCTTATTTTATTTTGTAGAAAAGAAGCAAGTTCATTTAAAGTTCGTGCCGGTGAATGGGATACACAAACGAAAAATGAGATATATCCACATCAAGATCGTGAAGTTCAAGCCGTTGTTGTACACGAGGGTTTCCATTCAGGAGCATTATACAATGATTTTGCTCTTTTAATTCTTAAAACGCCGGTTGATCTTGCAGAAAATGTTGATGTTGTTTGTCTTCCTAATGAAGGTGATGAATTCGATGGAGCACGATGTTTCGCAAGCGGTTGGGGCAAAGATGTTTTCGGTGTGTAATAATATTCATAAATTACAAAACAATTTTTCATAAAAAAAAAAAAGAAACAAAAATAATAATTAAAAATTAACGACAATTATTATAAATTATTAACAATTAAAAATTAAATAATTTTAGGTAAAGAAGGAAAATATCAGGTTATTTTGAAAAAAGTTGAATTGCCAATAGTGCCACATAATACATGTCAAAATTCATTGAGAAACACGAGACTTGGGAAATATTTTAATCTCCATCAAACTTTCATATGTGCTGGCGGAGAAGGAAAAGATACTTGCAAGGTATTAAATAATTCGAAAAATTAAATTTTTATTAATTTTTCAAAAAAAAAAAAAGTAAAATAGAAATAAATAATATTTAAATTTTAGGGTGACGGAGGAAGTCCTTTGGTTTGTCCTTTGTCTAATGATCCAAGTCGATATGTTCAAGCAGGTATTGTTGCCTGGGGTATTGGTTGTGCGGAAAATAATGTTCCTGGAGTTTATGCAAAAATTGCAAGTGCACGTCATTGGATTGACGAACAAATTGTCTACTATAATTTAGATCGATCCAGTTATCAATATCAGCCATAAAAAAAATGTTCTCTTCAAAATTTGACTTGAAATTTCAAATTATCAATTAATTTCAATGATTTAAAAAAAAAAAATTCAAATTAACGAGAAAACAAATTACGAAGACTGTAAATTTAGATGCAATAAACTAAAAAAAATTCCTCTCTTATATTTAATATAAGATTATCATTCTCATCTTCTATCATATTTATCTACTATATATCAACATTTGATATTTTTATAAAATTCTAAAAAACAGCTCAAAAGCTTTTTTATTATAAATTTACAATAAGTAACAGAAACTTATTGTGTATTTTTGTAATTTAATTCATAAATATGTATAATGTTATAATTAAAAAATTGAAATATACCTTAAGAAATTAAAAAATATACAATTGTTTTTTATTTATGTTGTCTAAATAAACAAATTTATTTAATTTTAAAAATTTCAATTATTTTATTTTAATGGTTTATTTCATTATTACAATATTTATCTCCATATTTTAAAACTAAATTTAAATTTAGCATTTTTCAATAAGTAATAACTGTCGATTTAAATTTGTCAAAAAACCGTCAATTCAAATTTAAATAAAAAAAACACTGCCATTATAAATTTTTCTTCAATGGAAAAAATCTATTTTTCTTTTTATTTAACAAAATAAAGAAATTCAAAAACGTATTTTTATTCTCTAAATAATACAACGTCGATTAAATAATTGTAATAACAATTTAATGTTTATTTTACAGAAATAATAATTATCTACAAAAATTCTTTAACTCCTCAAAAAAGACGGCACTGAAAAGGTGTATTTCCTAAGTACATCCCTGAGAGTACACACCAAGTTTTATTTCACATGTGAATAACAATATTTCAAACATAATAGAATCAAATATACACTTTCTTTTTATTGTTTATCTGCTTCTAGTTTTATTTACAAAAAAATATAAACAAAATCATTTAATTAACAGAAATATTAAGAAAATAACTTCAAAATAATAAAATTGCCGTGAAGTTCGCAACTAACGATCAGTCCTACTCATTGCTCTCATTGTTTACATTTCAAGACATTGTATTTTAATTTATTCATCATAAAAAACTTAATACCATTGTAATTTAAACATTTTAATTGCATTAAATTCAATTTTTAGGAATTTTCTTTAATAAAAAATTAATTTTCACAGACAAAAATATAAAGATTTTAGTTTTGTCGTGTGGCAACACTGCTATCGCCAGTTCGATAGTGCAAACGGCGCGTGATGCACTTCATTATAACAAAACTTTATGTTGCCTGCTATGGTTGCGGTTGCGCTCTCTCGTATAAAGTCGCAGTTTTTTTGTTGTCTTATGTGATAAATATTTACACATTAATTGTGAGTGAATAGCGAATAATTATTGCAAATATTGTTATACATCTATGATTATAAATTAGATGAAAAGTTATTATTGATAAAACGAATAAATAGTCGTGTCATGCACGTGTTTAGACTGATCGTCAATCAGTATTTTTTTTTTGGACTTGATTATTGCCAACAGTAAGTTTTAAAAAGGAAAGATTTAATACATTAATGTTATTTTCATATTCACAAAATGCATTTATATAATGTAAATTAAACAAAAAGATTTGCTATTTAGTTACACTTCATCCATTGATATTGCAGACGTCTTATGAGAAGAACAATGGATCGGATCAACCAATCTGCGTAGACATCATGCAAATTCCATTCTGATGAAAGAGATAAGGTATTTATGACTTCTAAGAATTCGGCAGTTTATATTATTTTATCATTACACTAAAGTTGATCTAATTAATCAATTTTTGCATGTAAATTATGTACATAGTTTAAAAAAATAGGTTAATTAATTGACAGGTGCATTTTTGTTTATCATTGGTAAATTATATTTCTTTGTCTCAAATTTTTATTTTCACTCAACAATGTTAATGTTACATTTTTTATGAATTTTTCTATTAAATGTTATTTATTATTTAATCTAATAATTTACAAGTATTTATTATTATTGACGGTTAATTAACCTATTTTTATTTTCTAATTAAATAGTTGATTTTTTTTTTACAATTTATTTATTTTTAAGTTAAAAATTTCACCTATGTTTGTGTATTTTTTTTTTAAATTCTCTAAAACTAATTGTTGAAGGATCAAATGTGGCTTTAAAATTCGCATTAGTAAATGAAGACCATGACGAAACATAGAATTATGGAATCACAAGGGAAGAAAATCAAGAGAAAGGATTCGAGTGATTCTTCAGGGAAAATTTCATTAAAATACAAAGAGATTATAAAAAATCAGCCGATTGTACTTTTAGAAAAACTTGTGTGTGACAGTTCTTTAATTTCAAATACTCCAAACAAAGTGTCATTAAAATTAGTTTCAACGCCATCTCATTCACAGTTATCACAAAAAAAATTCAATAAATATCTCTCGTCTTCAGCACCGTCCACATCAAAAAAATATAAAGTTTCATCAAGATGTCAAAATTATTTAGAAAAAAAAGATCCTTTAAGCTTATCATTTATAAGCACTGAAGGTTCTTTAGATGAAGAACTTTCAAAATACGGTGGTGGCTTTGGGAAAAGTCGCTCAAAATTCAAAGGTACAGTGTGTACTCGTGATCCAATGCGATTAACGCCATGCTCCGATGCATGTTGTATTCAATTTTCAAATACAGATGACAAGAAGAAAAATAAAAAAGATTCAAATTCAAAGAAAATTTCAAAATCACAACCAACTTTTCATACCTCAATAAAAACAAAATTAAATTCAAGTCAAAAATCAACAACAGATTCAACATCTAAACAAAATAGATTAAAAGATGAAAAATCTAGGATAAATAAATGTGACACAAAAATTGACAATAATTTATTATCAAGTGATGAAAATAGTCAAGGCTCATTCACTTCATCGAATCGTGTAGCGATTTTTATGAAAAAGAAAAATCCCCCATCATCATCATCATCACAACCAACACAAAATAATAGTAATAATAATAATAATAATAATAATATAAATAGTCCTCTTAATTTTTATTTAACTCCATCAAATTCTTCAATAAAAAGCAGTAATAGTTGTAATACAAATTTATTAATAAATCGTGGCACAAAACAACGATCGGAATATTTTCCAAATTTATCTATTGATAATTTATGTCGAAGTGAAACAAAAACAAATTATCCAAAAGTTGTAATACCAAAGAAAACACAAACAAAAATGTTGGAAGCAGCGACTTTTCCCAAAACGAGTGGACCAAATATTGAAACTTCATTTAAAACAAAATTATTATATACACAGAGCAATATGTCATATGTAAGTCCATTGGGTTATCAAGAAAATGAATTGAGAATTACTCAAACAGATAATAATAATAAAATGGAAAATTATCAAAAAATTAAAGAAAATCACATTTTTCCTCACACAAGTTTTAATAATCAAAATGTCAATTATCAGGAGAATAATTTTCTTATGAATAATCAAATTGAAAATAGAATCACAACTAATGATATAGAAAATAGTTTCAGAAATTTAGCATTTGAGAGGATTCCTGAAAATGGTACATGTTTATCAGAGATGAAATTGAATGAAAATATTTGCAATTTTCAACAGGACAATGCTGTACCATCTTCTTCTAATAATGGTAATATTAATTTTTTTTTACACTTATTTTACAAATTTTTTTTTTTTTCAAACTTGATTACTAATCAATTTTTTATTGTTACAGATTTTCATCAACCGCGAGTGGAAGAAGCCCCATTTGTTAGTCAATTATCATATTCCGAGAGTCATGTTAGAGAATCATCATTATCGAATATTGAAAAAGAGGAATTTTTAATGGAAGACTTTAATTTTCCAATTTTGTCTTTTGATAAAATAATTAATACAATTGATCACAGTATTGGAATATCTAATTCGGAAAATAATTTACAACCACCACCATCATCGCCAATGACATCGTCACAAAAGAAGAATATAAAAATCAAAGATATCGAAACAATACCATCTAATTGTATTCAAATAATACCAAGATCAAAACCTATTGTAAAAACAGAGAATAATTTATCACAAGAAAACAATGATTCAATAAAAAATGGTTTAAATGGTGAAAAAGAAAAAGTCGCAATTATTAATATACAAAATTTGGAACAATTACGTAAGGATGAAATAATACATAATCAAGATTTATATGATTATAATATTATTGGAGAGGAATTAATAAATAATTATTTGCCAACAACACAAGATGAACATGCTCTTGTTAATTCAAGTATTGTCGATCCTAATAATGATTTATTACACTTATTCTGTGATGATTTTCTCAATGGGGATATTGTCAATAATAATGGTAATAATAATGAAAAATCAAATCAAATTTCATCAAATTCACTCGATATAAAAGTACCATTTTCAGTGGAACCTCTTCCATCTTCATCAAACGAAGTATTACATCTTTACGATCCAAGTGGTCGTTCATGTGTAATTCCCGTGACCAATGAATTTAAAGAACCATTACAAAATTTAAATACATCGAATGAAAAAATAAACAATGAGAATAACGATGATTGTCAACGAAAACGAAAATGGTTCGATAAAAAGAGAAAATGTCATTCGGAACCAGGTGCAAAAAAAGTGAAACTAAATAGACGAAAATGGTCTAGAACGTGTAATGAAAGCGATGATTTTACCGATACATCATCCGAAGTTTCAAGTTCCTGTACATCAAGTTTCTATGAGAATGATAATATCAATAATACTTCTCACGATAATTTGGAATCGTTAAACATAAATCAAAATGAACACAACGATGAAACGAAATTAAATCCAAGCATCGTCACTAATACTTTGCCAATTGAAATAAATCAGAAAGAAATTGAAACAAATTTAATAATTGAAAAAAATATTGAAATTCAAAAACATGAAGTTGCTGTAGAAAAATCGCTGGTCGATCCCGAACCGCAACCAGAGCCAGAACAAGAAGAATTGAAAATTCCATTAAATCATGTACATGAGAAAATTAGATATTCACCGTCTCGTTTACAATTAAAACAAAATGACAAACCACCACTCGAAAGGAAAAAGAAGAGAAAACGAAATTCCAAATTTTCACCAACTTCATTTTCAAGTGACAGCAGTTCGGATGATGAATATGGATGTAATAAGGGAAATTCATCATCAGACGATGAACGTGAATTAGAAGATAAATTGAAACGACGTTTTCAACAAGAATTGAGCCACATTCAATCGGGAACAAATAATATCGATAATAATGATAAAGAATCATTAAAATCTCTAAACAGTCCAATGAAAGATGATCAAAAAGAAGACGATGCCATCTCACTTTACGCTTCACCTTCGCTAATGGATATATCAAGGCAAGCTTTCTTTTTTAATTAAAATAATAGATTTTGATAAAAAAAAATAAGTTTTCAGACTTCAAAGCCTATTTTTTATTTAAAATTCTACAATTTCAATAATAATTTTCATTGTCGAAATATTTTAATTATAATTTTCCTTATTTTTATTTATTTTGTTTTGTTTTAAATAGATGTACAACTCCATTACCAGACAGTAGAGCGACACAGAGTGATTTTTCCAATAACGATGATTCATTTTGGGATGCTTATATGCATAAACAAGAGGTTGAACTTGAATGTGATTTGAAAAGATATCGAGAGCGATGTAACAATGAAAGAAATAAAGAAAATGAGACGAAAGATAAAGAAAAAATGAAACAAGAAGATTTATTTACAAGACCAGTGAGAAATATAGGTAAAACGAATTCTAATGTTCGAATTAATAATATTAAATCTAGACTTGGAATGTCCTCAACTTCAAATGTTAATAATTCAAAAACACAGAATAGTATTCGAACTAAAATTGAAGCGCCATCAACATCAAATAATAATGATAGATCAACTATCGTTAAAACTAAAATTGAAGCACCAAATAATAATAATTCTCATGGCAATAATATTAAATCTAATATTGAAATACCGTCTACATTAAATACTAATGTAAATAATTTTACAACCAAAATATCAGCAGAACAAAACTTTGATGTACCTTATTTATCGAGATCATTTAATGGCCTTTGTTATACTTTTTTAATTCGTGGACAATGTATAAGAAATTTGTGTCCTTTTGAACACAAGGTAAAAAAATACTCACTTTATTAAAAATATTATTATTAAAAATATTATTATTAAAATAATAGAATTTCAATCAAATAATTATAAATAATTAATATTGTTACAGATTCCAGAGCGTCTTCAATATTTTCCAAATGTACCGGAACTGGCAGTATACAATCTAATGAATGATTGTATTATCAAAAAATATCAATATTATCTATTGAATGTTTATACAATTGTCATGTCAAAATTTAGTTATTATATTGCATTGAAATTTTTTAATGACATGTTAGATTTACATTTGATAAATGTACCATATTTAGAGAGTACTATTGAAATTTTAAAACAAAAATTAATTCCACTATCAACAATAGTTCATGATTTGCTGAAAATTATACCAATTAATAATATTTTATTGAAGACATTATTTGTATTTGCCGATCAAAAATCATTGCCAAATGAATATTGGGAGACAATGAGAAATTTTATTTGGAAAACAGGATTAACGAATGTTATACTTGAAAAAATTTTACATCAATGTTTAAACGATAGTCAAAATATTGAACGTATTAATGAGGTGTATAAAGTTTTTATTGATAATCATTTAAATGAAAGAGTGAATAAAGAATTATGGGTTGGTTTCTGTAATGTTCTATATTTACATTTAAATGAAAATTCAATAAGACAAAATGTTGTTCACAATGAACCAATTATTAATGATATTGCATCGCCCGATTTAAATTATCAGACTCCTGTTCATGAGCAAATTGAATTAAATCATGAAAATGTACAGGAATCTATTGTAACGAATTCTGAAACTATCCAGCAACCAATTGAGACGAATTTAAAAAATGACAATACTTATTCAGTGTCGCGTATTGGTAAGTTTAAAAAAAAAATTGATTTATTTTGTCACAAAATTTTGATAGAAATTCATTGTAAAAATATTAATATATTTTTTTTTTGTTATTCTTAACGAAAAGTTAATGGAATTTTGCATTTTTTTTTTAGATTTAACACCGCAAAAACCGAATCAAAGGAATGAAGATCTTTTTTGGAAATTTTATGATCGTCTTGAAAGTTTAAAACGAGGTCTACAACATAATGATTACAAGTATGTCGTCAATATTCTCAAAGAGTTTGTCGGTGAACATGCAACTGAGAAGAAAACTATATTCAGCCGACACTGTCATCATGTATTATGTGAAGAAATAAATAAATCTAAAACACACGTTGAAAACGTCATCAAAATTGCAGGTAAAGAAATATTAGACTATACTTATAATATACAATTTCCTACCAAAGCCATTGAGACACTTCCAATTGACAATGATTGGACTTATCATACATTGGATGTCAGGTCTATATTAAATCGTCATAACTCGCAAAATTGAAAGCAAATCAAAAAAATTACGATTTTTGGATTAAAGAAAATAAAATTATCAAATGAACATTTTCATCTTTTTTTTTTTTAAATTAAACTTAAATGGAAATTATTATTTTTTTTTAATTTCTCATGAAAAAACTAAATATATTTTCTATAAAATTCTTAAATTTCTTTTTTTTTTATACATATTGTTCAGAAAATATACAAAATTATTGAATATCTCGAAATTATAAGAATTTCAGAATGAAAAAAAAAATATACACATATTTTACACCCTAAGCTAATTTTTGAAATGTAAGATTATTTTTTAAATAAAAAAATTTTTTCTGAAATTTACAAATATTTTAGATATTTGATCATTTTTTTGTTTTCTGAATAATATGAATTTAATTTTATTGATTTACGTATGATTCTCTGTGAGAATTATTTATATAAACACATTCTGAAAAAGAAAATTAATCGTGGGACAATTTAATTTTCTTTTTTTAATCCATAAATCAATTATCAATAAAGATTATTTTATTAAACAAAAAGAAATTGTTTTAAAATATTACATTTAATTTTGAATATTTCCTTAAATTGACAATTTTTTTGTTTCCAAATTAGATATTTTTTTTTTTATCTAATAAAGAGAAAATAAATAAAACTTTAATTTTAGGTTTAAAATAAGTTATAGGATACGTATTTAGATAAATAAAAAAAAAAAACTAATAATATGGTATTCTAAGAATAAAACAGTAACAAAAATCTTAGTTAATTATTTAAAGAAAAGAAGCGCATTTATCGTATTTTTATTTTTAAAATTTTATTGTACAATTATTATTCACTTTGAAAATGTTCTCAAAAAATTTTATTTTATTTTTTATGGAAAAAAAAATAATTTTTTTTTTTTTATATAAATAATTCATGACCACTTAATAACATATTTTGTTAGTTTTTTATATTTTACGCAATAAATTTCCCGGTATTTTTACAATTTAAGAAAATTATTATTAGTGAACTCAATCCAGACGTAATTTAAAAGTAAGAGTATAGAATTTAAGTTATATATAAAAAATAAATAATTAATGAAAATTAATTTCTATTGAAACTTATTTTCTTTTAGAATTTTGAACATATTTTCAGCATATGAAAATTATTTTTTTTTTGTTTGCTTTTGTGAGTACATAATTTTTGTTGGTTGAGAAAGAAAACCTGATTTCTAAAAAAAAATGTGTCGACTGTCTTCAAAAAAAAAGCAAGATGAAATTATGTATCAATATATAAGTTTAAAGACCTACGTACTTTTTACAATATACATTTTACGTCGTGTTAATTTTATGTAAATAATTATTATTATTCTTCTCAATCATGAAATTCACTTGTAATGTTATGCACTTAAACGAAAAAAAAAAACTGTATATTAGTTAAACACTTACACACACAAAAAAAAAATAATAATAAACGTTACTGATAAAAAAATTAAAATGATTTGGTGTTCTTTATTTATTGAAACCTAATATTTTCTCTTTTTGGACATTTCAGTCCAAGATGGAGAACTATCCAAGATGCGAGAAATTTTGTCACAACTAGGAACTAACGTCTTGATTGAATTAGCTGATCGGGAACTTTGGGTTTATGCAAATGAACTACTTAAGACGCTGCAAAAATATGAGCTATACAATAATAACGCTGGATTAACTCTACTTGCAGCTGAAATTTATTTAGCTAATCATTTCCTTTCGGAGGCTTTCTGGTTACTAAGAGGTAAATTTGATTTTTAAAAGTTCCGAATTTTTTATATTTTAATAAATTCATTGATATTTATTTTCTTATTAATATACAATTTTTTTTTTATTTCAATGTATTTTTTTAACGTTTCTTTTTTTTTTAATTGGAAATTAAATTACTCTTAATTATTAAATTCATTATTTTAAATACAATTTTTTTTTCGTTTCGCAATTAATAAAAAATATTTTTTTTACACCGCTTTTATTTCTATACAAAAATACAAATTCGTATATTTCAGAGAGTAATATTATTTTCACTAATTGTGCAAGTTGGAAAGTGAAGAGTAATAAGGAAGATTCACAACTTCGAATATCGGTAGTAACACTTTTATTGGAGGCATTATGTCAAAATCATGCGCAAGAGGCTTTTTTTATTTTCGATTTAATTCTCGGTGAACAACAATCAAATTCTTATCCAATAAGTAAGTGAAAATTCATCAAAATTAATTTTGTATTATAAATTAAAATTAATTTTTTTTATATTAAATAAAAATAAAATATAAAATAATTTATTATTAAAATTATTTTCAGATCTTACGCGAATTGTTGATAGGCTTATGTTGTCTTTACTTGAACAAGATCGAATGGACAATGTAATAAATTTTTGCAAAAAAGCAATGAGATATCATTTAAATTTTCACGATATCACTTATCGAACAATAATCACTGCACTTGTGCCAATTGATATTGATTTGGCAAGACAATTTTTTCAATACGCTTCTCATCTTGGTGTTTACACAACATCAAACGTAATAAATAATATATAATCTGTAATTTAATTTTGCAAAAATATAAATATAAAAAAATATTTCAAATCAATTTTTTTTCAGGCTTATCCTGTAACATGTGTGATAACAAATATGGATTGGTCGGAAGAAGAAATGTATTTAGTAATTTCGGAATTTCTACGAAAACTTTCTATGGATGCTGGAATTGCAATATCACATATTGGAAATAGGCAATTGTCGGCTTCTTTTGTATTGGAGGTAAGTTTAAAAAAAAAAATTAATTACGATATTCAAATTTTATTTAATTAGTATTTATAAATTATATTTTTATTTTTAGGCAATTCCTTCGAGGAAACAATTATACAATGATATTTCCGATGAAAACAATATTAAAACAAATGGAAAAAAATTGAAGAAAAGCAAAGCAATGTTGAAGAATATTTTAGAAACTCGATTTGATCCACCAATAACAATTGTCAAAAAGGAACAAGGTAAAATATGTAAAATAAATGGCGAGAGTCTTGTGACCTATTTGAAAGCTGGTCACATTAATAATTAATATCATCAGTGATATTAAATCGTTTAGTTTTTTTAATCTTAAGACGTAAATTATTTTTTTATCAAATCTTTTTAGACTGTATAAATCTCGGCGTAATAATTAAAACATTGCGCTGATATATTTTTTGATGGAAACAAAGAAAAGAAACATGTTCATGTAATTTTAAAACACAGTTTTTATTTTTGAAAGTTTCAATAATTGTACTATTTAGCAAAAATTTAAATATGCTAATTATATGTACAAATATTTTGTGATATAAAGCTTTCATATTCGTTCATAATTTTTAGAATTTAAAAAAAAAAAAGAAAGAAAAGCTGCTTGCTCATACATTTGATATTGTATTTTTAACATTCTTCTTTTTTTCATTTAAAAAAAAAAAACATATTTCTAAATACGAAATATAAATGTTTTATTTATGATTAAAAAAAAAATCATAATTATTTTTTAAGAGAAAGACGATTGAAAGCTTTATTGCCTTTAACTATTTTTCATATATAATAATTTTTGTTTCATTTTAAATAATTTATTTTTTTGACATTCCAGTGAGTCAAGTGACATTAATTTTTAATTCATTCGCAATTTAATTAACGATGATTAGTGAATTATTATTATTGAAACAAATTTACCTGGGGAAAAAATAAGGGTACAATTCCAAGAAATTTTGACAAATAGGTATAACTTTAATTATAAGTTGCTAAAATACAGTGTACAAATTAAATTTAAGCGTTTGATATATAAATTTATCTTTAAAAAAAAATTTTCTGTGCTCTAATTTCTTAAAACAAAAATTCTAAATTGTGTCACATAAGTATATAATAACAATAATGACAATATTAATCACAGTAACTTTTTTTTTTACATTCTAATGAATTCCTCAAACGTTGAATTCGTTAACAAAGAAACGAAATGTAAATTTTATAAAAGTAATTGAAATAATTAGTTTATAATTATTATTAATTAGCTTATAATAAAAATAAGTACTTTTACAGTTCATTCACATTTAGTGTCGGACAATATAGTTTTTCTTTTTTTTTTTTTAAATACGACAGTCATTTTTTTTTTTTTTTTTTTTTACATACAAAATATATTATTATCAATTTATTCAAATTCGGGAATATCGTCAAATGAATAGCCTGGAACTTTGCGATACGCCAAAATTGCTACTCTAACATGATAAGCACCTGGTATAAACATTAAGGCCCCTAAGATTATTAAAGGCCACATTCGATCGGAATACTGTAAAAAAAACAGCATTTTTTTATTAACAAGAAAGTCATTAAAATTACATTTTTATTTTTTAAATGTAAAAAAAGTACCTTAGTATCTATATGACCACTGACAATTAAACTGCCCATGACTAGCATAACTGTTCCTCCGATAAAAAGCAAAGCTGCTAAAATTATCGCCTTCCAAGGTATTTTAACTGGAGGTTGAACAAACTGAAAAAAATAAAAATTTCTCAATAAATTATAATAATTAATAAATGTAATAATTTATTACAAAATAATTCCTTTCAGAGAAATAATTTTTGTTTTTCTCTCTCTCTAGAATATATTCTTACGCCCTTTATTTTCTAATATTAAAAACTGATATAAATCTTATCTCTCTTTTCTTTATTATACTTACTTGAGAATCCACGAAACCATTATCGGTTTCGGTTAACTGCGTGTAATCCACGTTGTTGAATTGTTTTTCACGGGTTCCTTTTCTTTTGGACATACTAAACTTGTACAGAAAGTCTGAAAACAATAAAACAATTTTTTTTTTGTTACATATTATTAAAAATGATAAGACACGATAATTATTGATAAATATTATAATCTAAAAGTGTTGGGAAATATTTTTAAATAGCCAGATAATGCATTTTGCGTAAATTTATAATATAATTTTAACCTAGAAAAAATAGCCGATATTCTATAGTTTCTGTAACTTTAAACATATATTTTTTATTGTAAAATCGATAAAATTCTAAAATTAATTTGAAGAATAATGAATAATATTTTAAATTTCTACTCTTACCACGTGACATATAACTTGGTGCAATTCATCTCAAAATAATAAAAAACAATATTATTTTCCTTCTTTTTTTTAAAAACAATAACCTCAATTTATATTTCTTAGTTTGTTTATATCTTTACAATATTTGTAAATGGTGTTAATACACTTAAATTATTTTCGAACTTTATAAAATAGTTTTGACTTTATAAAATTTAATAATTCACTCTTAAAAAATGATAAATTAGTATATCAGATACTACAATGAAAATACTATAATGAAATATTTTTTTTTTTATGAATTAAATAGTATAGTTGTCAAAATCATTTGATTAATGGGTTTCATAAACATCCGAAAGATGTAGACACTATCGCATTGACTGGTGGCGCCACTTGGGAATAATGTGAATACTAGACACAGGTTCATTCTTTTCTTTGTTTGTTTGTATTTTCTTTATATTCAAAGCTGATAAATAAACCGGTATTTTCAAATAATAATAAGTAGGGAAAGAATTCCAAAAGAAGAATAACTAATAAAGGGATTGGTACGTTTAATAATCACGATAATATTGCTTCAATTCTCACCTATGTTAAGTATTCTTCTCCACATGTCAATACTTGTTTTTAATAATTTTCAATTAATTTTGATTATTTTCACTCGCATTATTTCATCATAAGTGTTTTCTAACTCATTGTTATTTTTACTAAAAAAAAAAAGAAAAAAGATAAATTCTTTCATATCATAACGGACAATGAAGTTTGCAATGCATGCGAATAGGTTAGGTTTGCAAAATAAAAAAGTTTCAAAGAAATAATTCGTACTTGCCGCATATAGTCATTTTTTTTTTAATTTTTGTCAATAAATTATATATTTTTCCATAAAGTATATTCAAATGTTAATGACGTTTTGCGACAAATCTTATAATTTCGTATAAACTTTTTTGCGATTTTCTTTTTCAGTATTTAACATTACTTTTTCTCTCAACACTTATAACAAACGTATGCAATACACTTTGGTTGTATAGTTGTTTTATTGATTGTTGGATGCTGCTGCAACCCTGCAATCTGTTTTAATTGTTAACACCCACGTCGACTCCGTTTACTTTGTAACACATGCGGGAAACTTGAATTATTGTTGGTTAATATGTCAAGGAATTTTTTTAACAAAATGATTGAATTTCAAAATAATAGTAAATTTTTTTTTTTGCAAATTGTCAATTAAGGTAAATTATTTAATAATATTTAATTGACTATTTCATTTTGATTGTTTATCATTTATTACTTAAATATTCAATTTAATTTTTTTTTTTTTATATATTTAATAAAAAAAATAGAATCCTTTTTACGAGAGGTTATGTTTGTTTTTAATATTAAATTAATCTTTTTAATTTCTTATTTCCCATGTGTTACAATAAAATTTCAAAATAAATATAATTTTATTTCAATGTTACATTACATTTTTTTTTTTTGAAATTTATGAATTGCTCGCGTGTTTGATATTTTTCCCCCACCTAAAACATTAACCATTTTTTAAATATTATTTGATAATTTGTTTAACGAATTATCATTTTTATTTCATAACTTCATGACATTTATTATTTATATTAATATAAAATCAACGCGTTTTTTTCAGGTAAATTTAATTACTTTTTCAGTAACGAATTTTCGAACATTGTGTATGTAAATATAATAATCGCATTATATTTTATATTAATATAAAATAATATTTGTGGCATTATATAATTATCATATAAAATAAAATTTACACCCAGAGAAATTTTTTTATTCTAATAAAATATAATTTATTTGAATTATAAATACTTTGTCTCGGAGCTAAAAAAAAATTGTTTTAAATAAAATTGAATTAAAATTTATTTGCAACAAATTTATTTAGTCTCAGAGGTAAATATATTTTTTTTCTCTGGGTGTAAAAAAATCATTTTTAAAAAATTAACATTAACGAATCATTTTTTTTTTTTGAAATCATTATTAACGATATTTAAATTATTCTGCGTGAATAATTAATAATGAAAATTGCAAAATGATTGGAAAAAATTATCCTGAATCAGTGCGAATCAAGTTTTGATTTTTTTTTTTAGCAAAATTTTATGAGGTAAAGTATAAAAAATTAATTAAAAATTTCTTGATAATTTTGTCTTATAAAATTCAGTTTTGTAAAATTTGATTCTGATTTTAGAACAATGAAATAATTTTTTCAATTTTCATTATTATATTTTTTTTGCAGATAAAATCATCATTAAAAAAAAAATCATTTTGGGCCTATTACTAAAAATTAGTTTTTTTATTATATTAATTAGTGTTGTGCAAGTGATTAGTTTTTTTTCCATCATGGAATTAAAAAATTTTAAAAAAAAAAAGAAAAAAAAAGACAAATGACGCTTTTTTTGTAGGTTTGAGGAATTTACTGGAAAATTGTAGAGAGAAAAAAAAAGAGAGAGAAAGAGAGCGAGAGAGAGAGAGATGTGTTGTTTTTCTGAGAGTCCAATGGAGAAAACTACGCGGCGGTGGTACGCAATGCTTCTGCGCTCTGGAACCCCTTTGGTAAATTCGGTGGGTAGACGAAGGAGGCTCTCGGGGGCAGCAGTGCGGGTTCTGGGGGCGGCGAGGGCGGGTGCCTCCGTTGAAAAGAGCCCTTGGCGACAGCCGGCTCTCGATTACGCCACGGTAAGGCCTCGCAAGACCAACCAACGAGAGACCGTTTTTAAATAATTGACAATTTAGAAAAAAAACAACAACAACAACAAACAAAAAAACAAAAACACAACAAAAAAAAAAACAACCCCCCATCGACTCCACTCACAAAATCAACACGAATCTTAGACGAGAGGCTTCGTAGATCGTCTTCGGGTCTGTCCAGGTAAATCAATAATACAAACTCTTGAAAATTAAACCGTACTACACTCTTCCAACTCTTCCGGATGAAATTTTACCGGTGTGTGTGTATCAAATATTCGCGGGAATTTCGAAAAAAAAAATGAAAAAGGATAAAAGAACGTTTTACGTCCATTTTCTTTTAATTCTTAGTATATTGAGAAAATTTTTTCCATTTTTTTTTAAATTTCAAAAAAATCAAGTGCTTTTCAAAGAAGAGAGGACTTTTTTTCAATTGTAATGTGAAAACGCCTTTTTCATCTCACCCCCCTCCCCCTCTCACCCCTTAAAATTAATGTGTAAATATTTCAATTTTTGTGAGGAATTTTTGAATTTAAGTAAATTTGGAATTTCTCGATGAATTTTGGAATTTTATATTTTATAAAAATTGTGATTTTCTGATGGATTTTGAAAATTGTTGGACTCTAAGGATTGTTTAACGTCTAATTAGAGTGAAATTACGATCTAAAAAGGAATTGGCACATATATATATTTGTGTGTATTTAGTGGTTTACTGTTTTGGAATTTTTGATGAGCCAAAAATTTTGAACGAAATTTTTTTTTACCACTTCTTTAAGTACAAATTTTATTTAAAAAAATATTGTTTTAAATATCTAAATAGAAGTTATTAATTTAATAATTATTTAATTTACTGTTTTATTTTAAATTGCCATATAAATTTTTTAATAATTTATAGATTGCAAAAAAATATTTCGTTCATTTGAACGTTCAGAATTTTTGGTTTCATTTTTTTTTTTTTTTTTTTTTTAATCTTTGCTATTTTTTTTCTTTTCTGGAAATTTAAATTTGTGGATTAAAAAATATTTCAAGAAAAATTTATGTAATTACAAAAATCTGCATTAGAAAATATGCAAAAAAATAAAAGGGGAAAATTCTTCTTTGATTTTCAAAATACAGTGGAAATTATTAAGGTGGTTCAACTAATGACAGTCTCTGCAAAAAGTTTATCAAATTGAAAAGATTCGAAAAAATATTAATTTACTATTCATCAAATTCAGTCTGTTCAAAATATATAAATTTAATTAAAATTTTTGCTTTTACTTTAATCATTTATCAAGATTAATTTGATTAATTAATTTTTAAAAAAATTTTTACCAAATAATTTTCAATATTTTTGAACTTCGAATATTGAGAATTTTAAACTTTCAAATTTGCATTATTCATATTTATTATTTATTTACATAATATTATTTTGTTTCAATAAAAATTAAATTGTTCAAGGTCAGATAGAATATAAATTACTCTATTTTTATGTTTATTATAAACAAATAATAAAATGACGACAATAAAAAAGAAAACTGAAAAAAAAACTTTAAAATAAAATTCGTGCAATAAAAGAGAAATTATTTATTCGTAAGAAAATAAATGAAATTAAAATTATCGTTTATTAAAAACTATTTATTTGATAGTAATCCAGTATAATCATTTATTTGAATTGAATAAATTTTCTCATAATTAATTATCATAATAAATTAATAGTAAAATATTAATTATTATCAAAAAAATTGATGTTAATTAATAATTTAACTAATTAAATTAATTTTTCATATTAAATAAATCAATGGTCAGTGTAAATAGAATATGATTTTAAAACTTATTTGATATAATCGAATGTTTAACAATATATAAATATGTATTCTATATTTGCAAATTTAAATTCGTTATGAAAATAACAAATATTGGTTATACCACGAGTAAACAAAAAAAAGAAAATTGCAAACAATTTTAATTTATTTTAAAATAATCTAAATTATTGATATTTTGTGTACCAACTGGAAATTTTTATTTTCTCTCTTTTTCATTATACTGCAGACATTTATGTATATATATTCACTGACGCATTTCATTTGAAAAAACATTTTTTTCCCTTAGGTTTTTTTTTATTTTGTTCTTGTTAGTTTAGATTGTCGGGGTTGAAATTTAAGACTGTGATTTTCCCTCATTTTAGGATCTTTGTCACTTGTTTACCCTCTATAGTTAATTTACCGAGTATTCTCGCTTTCTTGGAAACATTTTTTTTTTCATTTATAATGCAAAAAAAAAGAGTCAATTTTATCTTGTAACAAATTATTTTTATTATTTTAATTACATATTTTTTTGAATTTTATTTTTTGTTTTTACAATGAAATAAATTTTTATTAAATAATTTTGTTAATATATAAGATAAGAATTATTACGGAGTTAATTACATGTAAAATGCTGGCAATTCACGTGATAAATATATAATACACAAACGTGACTTGTTGAATCTTTAGAAATCATTGCAATTTCACTTTTATATGAAAATTTATTTTAATTTATTCTTTCTTTAAAATCAATTACATTTTTCTTTAATAAATAACATTAATGATTATAGTTTATAATTCTTACTATATTATTAAAAATAAATTTTATCACTTTTGAAAATGTGGAAAGAAACAGGTTAAAAATTTTGTTATCAGCAAAAATTGTATAACACTTTTAAAAAATATAAATTCTAATTGTTATTTGCGTTCTACTTTGAAAATTTGTTTTAGTTGTAAAAGTAATTTTTTTTTTTTTAGACAAAAGAAAAAATATCTGAAAAATTAATAATTCGCTATCACGATTATCATAACAAGTTTTTTGAAAATTAAAATTATCTCTATTATACTATTCAATCAAATTTTTTAGTGATTTGAATAATTTCAACGTTGGATTATGCTAATTTTAAGCATCATTTTTCGATGTATAGAAATGTTGAAAGATCCCATTAATTCAATCACATTTTGATTTAGAAATAATTAATTTTCACCTTCCTTCAGTCTATATAGAGAAACACATTAGAAAAAAAAAGAAGTTATTTCTGAAAGTATTTTATGAACTTTTATCTCGAATTTTATCCTCTGTATAATTTTATCAGTATAATATTATATAAGAAATGAAATTTATTACAATAAATAGCAGTAATTTCTTTTTTTTTTTTATTTTTTTTTTATTATAGAATGCAAATTTTGTTTATTCTCGAATTTATTTTCATATTTTATAAAAATGGAGGGGGATTTTCTTTTTCTTCATATATTTGGTTCATCGTTCTTTTTTGCGTTAGTATACTTTTTGAAATTCTACAAGACTGGCGTGTTTCTCTCTCTCTTTTCAAAATATTTTATTTAATTTAAAAAAAGTATTTTTATTTATTTAATTTAAAAGTTTAAAAAAAAAACTCAAATTGCAAAAGGTCTAATGTAAGGTCAGAATATAAATACATAATTTTTATGTTTATTAAATAAAATAGGTATGCAAAAAAATTAAACTATCAATTTTAAATTTTAATTTAATTTTAATTTACAAAATTAAATAAACCCTTGTAAAAATAAAATTTGGTTTTTCTTTAAAAAAATTACATGTAAAATTAATTGATTTTAATAATTTTTATAATAATTATTTATTAATTTATTATTATTTAATGAATAATTGGTATTTAATAATAAATTAATTAACAATTATTATTATTATTGTATTTTTTTAATAATTTTTTATTTTTTGGTATTTTATTTTATTAATTTATTATAATTAGTGATTAAATTTTTGTTTCATTAACATTGTCTTAAAATTCAATTTATAATATTATAAAGAAAATCTTTAACAAGAATATGCAATCTTTTGTTTTTATTCTCGATAACATTAGAAACCTTAGACAGTCTGTCATCTACAGATTACGTATAGGCCAAAGTGACCCATATTCTATATAGTAATGAAACAAAATCTGAAAAAACTAACCGCATAAATAAGAGGGTTCGTTTAACCCTTTTAAAAAATAGAAAAGCGATTTTTTATTTTTCCAAATATTTTCACAAATTTAATTTAGAGTATTATTTAATTTTTTTAATTTAAAAAAATATTTATTTATTTATTTATTTTCAAAATAGACGGACTTACAAAAAAAATATTACAAAAAACAAAAAATTATAAAATATAAATTTAAAAAAGGAAATTTTTTTCTTTTAATTTGAAATTCTTAAAAAAAAATTTCATTTGCAAAACAATGGAAAAATTTTATTATTATGTGTCAATTTTAAATATTTTTTTTAACTTTAACTGAATCCTTTAATTGTATACCTAATGAAAGAGAGAGAGAGAGAAAGACAACTTTTGCATATCCTAAGTTACTTTAACAACTAATTTTGAATTCATTGGTACTGTCTATGTAAATTATCTCCATGAAGTGATTAGATGTGTACGAAACTTAATTGTTTTTTAATTACAATTTTCAAAAAAAAAAAAAATAAATAAAATTTAAAAATTGTGTAACAAAAAAAGTTTTCAATTATTTATTTTTATAACTAATTTAAAATATTAATTTATCATTTGAAATGCCGTCGATATAACATTGTGGAAAATCAATCAAAAAAAAAAATTTTATAATTGAATTTTTCAATTAATTAAAAATTAAATATTACCCTATCACTGAATATTTAACTGAGAGGGGAAAAAAATACACATTTTCCATAATGTCTCCTTTCAGAATTTTAATTAAATTTTCAGTTAAAAAAATGAAACATTTTTTTTAATACTACTACATTTTTTAAATACAGTTTTGCTTGGAAAAAAATTAATTACTACTGAAGAAAAAAGAAAAATTAATAGTCATTAATTTTTACTAAATAATTTATAAATTAATTAATTTTTAATTTTTCAGAGAAAAATAATTTTTCCAAATGGAAAAAAAAACTACTTTTCTGAATTGAATTTATTATATTTGAATTTTGAGTATTTTGGATTTTTCAAAGGGTTTTTAAGAAACTAGAATAATGGAACATTAATTAATTTTATATTATAAATAATATTGTATTAATTTCAAGAATCAGAATTTTATAAATAATATTATATTAAATTTTTTAATTATGTATATTAATTAATTTTCTAAAATTAATTTTACACATCTAAATTTTATTAAAATGTAAAATTTACTCGTTAATTTAAAAATTAACGGGTTTAAAGAAATTTTTTTCTAAATTGCAAATTGAGTTTTATAAAAATAGAAAATTATTTTTAAAAAATTATGAAAGTGTATTTATATGAAAAAAAAAAGTAGGATTTTTTTTTTTAATTCAAATATGTTGAAAGTGGAGCAATGAAAGGTAGGGCTAGTTTATTATTCGTTGCAGTGGTAAACAGTAGTAGCATTCAACCCTCCTTGATGGCGCATAAGGGTGTCAGACAGACTTTTGTAGGGAGAACGTTCCGGCTGTTCTCCGAAGCCCTTTTCATTTCTCTTTCCGTTTTTTTCCCTCTTTTTTTTTTTTTTTTTTTTCTTTTTTTTTGAGCTAAACAATTCATCATAAAAATTGGACACGTGTTTTGGGATCGATAATATTAAGATGAAATTATCTTGTCGTTCCATTCTTCTTTATTGTACTTGAGGAAATTTTCATTGAATCTTTTAGCAATGCAATCGACCTTAGGAAATAATCAATAAAAAGCCTTTGAATTTTTTTCTTTAAATCATTCATAACTTTCTTTTAATAAAAGAAATTATTTGTTTTTTAAAATAATTTTTTCGATCTGTAATTTAATTTTTTTTTGTTATTGAAAAAAAGGGTTTTTTTTTCATTCTTATGAGTTTTTACTTTCTTTCATAAATAAACGACCTTGAAAATACCTGTTCAATTTATAACTTTCTTTGTCACTTTGGTTTTTCAGTGTAACTTTTTTTTTTTTTGAAGCGTCTCAATATTCGCCTCTCCTCGTGAACTGATCATAAAAATCTGCATCGCTGGGTCTGTACCTGGGGCGGTACTTGGTTTTCTTTTTGCTCTCACGCCATTTATCTTTTTTAATTCTTACCTGTTCTAATACATATTGTGCCTAATTGCACTTTACAGACCTCAGTGCATTTCTCGTTCTCGTCCTGAGCACAAGCACCACGTTTCTATATTTTGTGCGAGAGAAGAAAAATTCCTTTTTTTTTTTTATTTTTCCGTACACAAAATGAAAAAAGTTTGAACAAATTGTTTTTTTTCCCCTTTTTTTTATATAAATATTTCAGTTTTTGGAAAAAAAAAATTATTATATTTATTTATTTTTTTTTACTTAATTTGAAGTTAAATTTACTCGATTATAGTTACAGAATGGAGTGTCCCGAAGCGGTCGAACGAGGTCGAAATTTTCGTCTATTGACTGCAGAAGAATTACCACAACTTTTGGATTTTCTCAAGCAATATTTACCGGAATCATTGAAGGTAATTGGAAAAAAAAATCATTTTTCTTTTTCTGTTTTGATTGACAATTTTTTAAATTTTGAATAGAAAATGCAAATTTGTGCCCTATTATAATAGCAAAAAAAAAAAATATTAAAGAAAGTGGAATATTTGCCTCAAAGGATATATTGAATTCGATAATGTATTCCTTTTTTTTTTCCTATTTTCAATAGCCAGCAAGTTTAATGAACTAATTTCGATTCAAAGCTCACTTTGTTGACTTTTTTTTCTACAAAGTTTAAAAATAAAAGAAAAATCATTAAAATAATGATTCAATATTAAAAAAAATATTTTGGCATTTAAAAAAAAAAACATCAAATGAATTGAAAAGGAAAATTAAAAAAGCAGACAAAATTTTGATAAAAAATTCTCGATTCCAAAAGGAATGTGTATAAGAAAGAAAAAAAAAGAATGGAGAAAAATTCCTTTAACAAAGAAAATTTTCTCATTATATACCCAGGCGTCATTTGCGATAGGATTAAAGCTTTGTTCTTTTTTAATACTCGTTGAAAATCGATAAAAATGAAGACTAAAAAGAGAGGAACATGAACAGTATTATTCCTCTTCTGAGGAAAATTGAGGTTTTTTTTTTGGATTAAATATATAAAAGGGAATATTTTTTTTTTGCTTTTAAGCAAAGTTTGGTACTTACATATTTTCATTTTTTTTTTGATAAATCGTCTTAGCGAAAGTCCTTGAAATTAAAATGGAATTCACGTAAAAACCAATGTCTGTAGAAGTCAATGTCAAGGTCGTTCGTTCGTTTGCTCCTGAATAACTACTCGTTTGGTATCACTGCATTGCGACCTCGTAAGCTCGAAGACCTCTAATCCGTTTGACTTTATTCCACCTGCAAAATAAAATAATAGACCTTGTCATGATGCGGAATTTTGTTTTTGCTTTTCAAAAAATTTGGTTCTCTCTTCAAAGTATAAATTTTTCAAATAAAAAGCATTTATAGAATTTTTTTTAATTCTAAATTCATTGATAAATTGAATTCTTTTTTTAAAATATTTTTTCAAATATTGTCGACAAATAAAATTTGTAAATTTTTTTTTGTTCTAGACAAAATTTTTATTCGAAAAATAAAGAGACAATACTGAAAAAAAAATTTATTTGATTCAAATACTCGATTACTTGACTATTATCAAATAAATATATTTATTTCAAATAAATTATTATTTGAGATGGGGTATTTGTTTAAAATAAAGAAACTATTGATTCAAATAAAATTTATTTGGTTCAAGTAAATATTTATTTGATAATAGTCAAGTAATCGAGTATTTGAATCAAATAGATTTTTTTTCAGTATTTATTTTAAATAAATAATATTTGGTAGGAAAAATATTTTTGGTAAAAAAAATGATAATTTAAAACCAAAAGAAGATTATAATATATATAAATCGGCTTAAAAAGGAGATTCAAATAGGAAAAATCTTGATACAAAAATCAGTATTGTAATATCGACATGGAAAGGCTGTTTTGGAATAGACAAGCATATTGAATTAAACTAGAGCCTCTATATCAATCAATCAACAGGTACAACTCGTTAATGGAACGTCTACTTAGTCTTTCATTTATATATTTGAAATATATATATATATATTACACCGTAACTTGCGAAAAATTTACATTTTTTTTTTACAATAAAAAAAATTATTTTGAGAAATAAATTTTTATGTAAATTATTCTCGGTATCATTTTTTAATTTAATAAAAAATTAAATTTTCTAAACTTCAATAAAAAAAATTCAATTAAAAAAATTAATATTTTATTTTTTTAATGCATAACGAAATTATTTTTATTGCATTACCAGCCACTGAAACAAAAACCATTTTTAAAAAGAAAAATTATTTCTTATTTTTAATTTTTTTCTTTTCTCGAAAAAAATAATAAAAAATTATTAAAATAGTAAAAAATTGGTTAAAATAAAATAAATCAAATTGGTTTGTTTTTTCTTTCCCAAAAAAAATAATAAAAAATTATTAAAATAGAATAAAATTGGTTAAAATAAAATAAATCAAATTGGTTTTGTTTTTTTTTCTCAAAAAAAATAATAAAAAATTATTAAAATAGAATAAAATTGGTTAAAATAAAATAAATCAAATTGGTTTGTTTTTTTTCTCAAAAAAAATAATAAAAAATTATTAAAATAGAATAAAATTGGTTAAAATAAAATAAATCAAATTGGTTTGTTTTCTTTTCTCGAAAAAAATAATAAAAAATTATTAAAATAGAATAAAATTGGTTAAAATAAAATAAATCAAATTGGTTTGTTTTTTTTTCTCAAAAAAAAATAATAAAAAATTATTAAAATAGAATAAAATTGGTTAAAATAAAATAAATCAAATTGGTTTGAAATATTAAAAGAAAAAATATCAATTTTAAAATATAGAAAAAATTTGTTTCCTATAAAAAAAATTATATTGCAAAAAGAAATTTTTTTTTCATTGATCCAATGAAATGAAGAGATTTCTCAAGTTTTTTTTTTCTCTCTCTTTTTTCTCTTATCGATAAAATCAAAGTTATAATTAAGAATATTATTATGAAAATTGTTGGTCCTTTTTTGTTTTAATACACATGCATATATGGTTCCATCGATTTCGTTGAAAAGGAACGAAAAACCTTCGCGTGAGTCAGGACTCGACCTTGACCCTCAATCGCCTTTTCGAATGGTTGTTGGAATGCATACATGTCTAGATGCAGACGCGGGTTTATTTTCAGGATTAAATTACCGTATATACACTGATCTACATTAATAATTAATTTTTCTCTAAAACAAATTTCGTGTTTCCTCTTTGTCACATTTTGTATGAGAGATTTTTTTTTCATTATTCTCTTTGTTAAAAAAAAAAAATACAAATTTTTTCTTCTCTTTTTTGATTTAATCAATCCCCCTCTGTATATAATTTTTTTCACTAGGGTAAATATTGTAACTAATTATAAAAGTAAATTTAAGTGTTGCTGTTGAGTTTACTTTAATCAGATGTAATTTTATTTGCGTGACAAAGTATGTTAAATTGCCTCGAGGGAAAATTTAAGAAATTTTGCTTCAAAAAATGTAAATTTCATTTTCTTAATTTGAAAATAATTATTTTAACGTCCTGATTTTTTTCCCTCTTCTTTTTTTTTTATTAATAAATATCTTTTGTTATTAATTTTATTGTTATAATTTAGAAATTCAAAATTCTCAATTATATAAACCTCTATTATTAAAGGAAACAATTAAATATGATCCTTTTGATAAAGTTTCAGTTATATAATTAATACCTTCCTTTTGTTGTCTGCAAAACAATAAACCCTTTCATAATTAAATTCTCGGATTATTTATAAATTTATTATAATTTAACTTATGTTGAAAAATTAATTAATTTAATATACACAAAAAAATTTATAATTTTAATATTAATTTTTTTTTCAGTTTCATCAAACCCTTTTGACTTATATGAAACATCGAGTATGGGAATTTCATTTTTACGTAGCCAATGATTGGCCAGAAGTTCCGGTTTGTTTGCATTTTCCAGGGATGACTCTTGCCGTAAGTATTTATAAATAATTTAATAAAAAATATTAAAAAACAAAATTATATTTTATTTTAAAAAATCGGTTAGAAATCTATTTTTCTTTATTGAATTTTTTTTTTTAAATTCTAATGTCTTTTAAAAATAGACCAAAAATAAATGATGTTTAAAGAAACACCTATTGAAAAAAAACCTACTTCTTTCAAATTTTGTAATCGATCAAGAATAAAGGTGAAATGTGAGTCACGAACCTGACACCGGAGGTTTAATAATATTCACCCTCGGATAATTTTTGTTTTTTTCTTTGATAACAAAAATTTTTTTTTTTTTTTTAAATTTAACCGCGACTTGAAATTAAAAATTATAGAGAAATATAAATTGAAAAAAGTTTTACTAGTTGAAAACTAGATATATATCATAAAGAGTTATAAAGAAAATTGGAAAAATGAACCCCGCAGGTTGATATTGTCATTTGGCTAATCGCCAACGATTCTTGTTTCTGTTTCCTCGTCTTCGTCCTCGACCTCACCCCCCCCCTCTCTCTCTCTCTTCAAGAACGCATTTATCAGCACTATACAATTCTAATGATATATATATATATATATGTAACACTAAAATCCTGACAATGTCACTGCTCTGTCGTTTATCAAACGCTACATATATCATCACACTAATTAGTAGGCTTAATTCGAAAAATTTTCCATATTAATCAATTTCAATTTTATCGAAAAATTTAGAAATCGAAAAATTTTTTATAACTCGATTACTTTTTTTCGAAATTAAAAAAAATATTTTCCCCGCACTTAATAATTAATAATTATTGAATGTATTTAAAAAAAAGATTAAAAAAAAATTTGTCATTTAAAATTAAATATTTTGAGCCAAAAGTTTTGAACGGAACAAAATTTTTTTTTTACAACTTAACAAGGAATTTTATTACAAAATATTGTTGTAAATATCTAAAAAGAAGGTTTTTAATTTAATAATTAATAATTAATAATTAATAATTGTTTAATTTACTGTTTTTTTTATTTCACATTGACATTATAATTTTTAATAATTTATAGATATTGAAAAAAATATTTTCTTCATTTCAGAATTTCTGACTTATATAATATTTTAAGAAAGTTTGTTTATAAACGTATTATAAACTTTACAATTGTAACTTTTATAACAAATGTTGTTTTATTTTATCGAATAATTAAATTAATTCATAATTCAATTAATTATTAAAATTATTATTAATAATTAAATCAATTTATGTTATTATCAATAATACAAAATTTAATGATTTCATGAATAATAAATTTTTTTTTTACTAATTTTATTCATCATTAAATAAATTAATGTTTAATAAACAAAATTTATTTCTATTATTAGTATTATTTTTATTTTTAATTAAAAATTTATTATCATTGAGTAATGGAAGAAAGTTTCTATAATTTTAATTTTTATTTTCAGCCACACGGTTTGCTTTACGAAAGCGTAGGTGTCTTTTGTCCTATTGATCAACTGGAATTATTAAGGATCATGCAGGACGAGGATATTTTAATCGATTGGTCAAGACCATTGTATATTAATTTTGTTCATTCGCAAATTTCCGATGAACTAATTCGACTTTATAATGGCACTGGAATAGTCGAGCGGGTTCTTGGCGATGTCTGGTCTTGTAAGAATATTGAAAATATTGAAAACATTGATAATATTGAAGATGAATCCGTGCCTGCAGAATCACAGGTAAAAATTAATTTTTTTTTAAATTAAAGAAACAAAAAGAAAAATTAGCTTTGTATTTGTAAATTAAAAATTCTCTAGCTAAAGCAAATAAATTTTTTTTTCTCTTTGCTGTAAACTAAAAATTAATTTTTCTCCACAATTTCAGGTTCTTCCCTTAAAACCGGAGCATGCGGAATGCATTCACGATTTGTATCCTGCCAATGACATGGAATGTCAAGAGGTGTTTTTACGACTAATTAGGATTTTGCCAGGAGCCGGTGTTTTCGTTAATGGAAAATTGGCCGCCTGGATGGTGCAGTCATATTATGGAGCCATGTTTTCCATGCAAACAAAACCAGAACACCGAAGAAAAGGCTATGGATTGCGACTAGCAAAGTAATAAATTTTTTTCCTTTCTTTTCAAATTTTTATTCTGAAATAAATAATTTAAAAAAAATCATTTCCCCCCCATCATCAGATACCTGACGAAAACAGTCGCTGACCGTGGCTACAGTCCATTCGTTGTGATACGTCCAGAAAATGATGCGAGTCAAAGTCTCTATAGAAAATTAGGATTCAACAAATTTTATCAAATGGTACGAATGACATTTGTACCGGATACGTGGCGAGAAATTGAAAATGGAGCAAATTCGATATTAAAGGGGAATTTAGAAAATGCAGTTAGACAATTAAGTATTGAACAAAGGATAATAGACGCGTTTCAAAATGATGAGAATGAAATGGATGACGATCAAAAAACCACGAATCACGAGAAACAGGAATTGGACAGTTTAGGTAATGGAGATGATTATAATAATCACATTAAAGAGCATGTGTAAAAAAAAAAAAAAAAGAAAACAAAAGTTTTGAACGAATAATATGAACAATATAAATAAAGAATCTCAGGAGTGTTTTTAAAAGTGCGAGAAGTAATAATGAACATAGAATCAGACTGAAAAAAAAACCAATTGAAAATGTCGATGAAACGGTGATAAAACCCAACTACCAAAATAATCACGCATTCTGCTTCTCTGCACCAAAAACTCTAAAAAAAAAAACAAAAAACAAAAAAAAACAAGTAGAATTGTAAACTTGATGCGAAAATGACAAAAATTATTATTAAAAAAAAAAAATTAATGTAGGACAAGTCTATTTACCGGAAATCTAGTTTCTAAAATTCCCCTGAATAGGGATGCAAAAGTACAAAAAAAGAATTTTTCAAAAATTTCTTTATTATTACTTTCAAAATGCACAAGTTACTAGGACTTTTTTTTTTGAACAAAAAAAAAACTTGTACATTTTCAAATGTAATTTTATTATTTTATTTTTTTTTAAATTGAAACTTTTTATTTAAAAGCAAAATATGGCAACAAAAAACAAAAAAATGATAGCATTGTCCTATGTTAATATGAATATTTATGCAGTAATATATTTATAGGGAAATATATTTATGCATATGGGAAAATATTTTGAAATTTCCATGTTATAATGAAACGCGAAAAGTTTACGTGGGGCTTCTTTTTTCCTAAACAGAAATTTTAACTAAAAAATTTACAACAAAAATTTCTGTGAGTTTTCCATATCACGCAATGTCTCCAAGACACTTTTTTCAATCAATCAATCAATAATAATAATAATAATAATAATACTAATAATAATAATTAATGAAGGGGGAGAAAAAATCCACTTTTCAATGAATTTTATTCTATATAATAATATGCTGACTTCCTTTGGCATTTAATTAGTTTTGTTTTTTTTTGCCATCGGCAGTCTTTGACGAAATTTTTATTATTTATTTAAAAACTTATTTTTTTATCTTATTTATTTATTTATTTTTTATAAAATAATTTTTTCTTGACTATTATCGAAGGAAAAATGATATTAATTCATTTGATAAAAATTGTATTAAAAATACGATAGGAAAATTTAATTTTTTTTTTTTTTTAACTTTTGAAGTTTGTTAATTGCTTTATGAAAAATAAATTTTCCTTCGTCATGAAAAGAAATTGAATGTTATCTTGTTTTATATTAACTGTTAATCAGTGACTGTCGGTGGTGATATAATAATATGAAAAAAAAAAAAAATGAAATTTGAAAGACCAGTGAACTCTTAGAATTTTACTATATACATAACATTCCATAAAATAGATTAATTTTTATCTGTTAATTTACAAAGCTAAATGAACGATCTTACAGTATTTATTAATAATACAGACTGATCTTTACATCTTTCTCGTTGTATTTTTTATCTAGTTAGTATTTAGGGCTTGTGTTACAAGGAAAAAAAAATTAAATTAATTTCTATTAAGCCTATTGTAAAAATAAAATTTACATTAGTTACAGCATTACTTTAAAAAAAAAATAATACTGGAAAACTGAATAGTTTTATTGACTATATATTATAAATATATATATATATATATATATAAATATTATGGCTGATGAAAAATAATAATTTTTGAATTGCGAATGAGTCGGCAAAAATGTATGTGTATCAGAATGAATCAACGTTTATGTACTTTAGAGAGTCAACGTTGAAACGATCTGTGATTTATGATTTATGATGAAAAAGTTGTTAAAGCCTCGCGTGAACTGTAAATGTTTTAAATATTTAAAAGCATTACTTACATTTGTTGTTAATATCAATATTACAATGAAGAAACAAATTTATTTAATTTCAAATAAAAATTTAGTCGTTTAATAGTGTTTCATCAAAATTTAAATTTTTTTTGAAATATTTTTATTGGGAAATTAAAAAAAAAAATTAGTAAAAAAAAATAAAGGAACATTTTTAACAATTTAATTAAAAATAAAGTATTATTTGATATATACAACAAGTAGAGTAATGCATTTAAGCACCAGTACTTAAGTAGTAAAGACTACCAAAGCGGTAATTACTAACTTATTAAAATACAAAATCGCGCAAAAAAAAAGAAAATTATAAGGCGCCTCAGCTCGATCAATAAGTAAATAATAATAATTATAATAATAATAATAATAGAAATTTAACTATTCTAGACAAATATACCTATAATTTTTTCTACATTTCATAGCAATTGTAAAGAACGATGAAGATAATGTAATTGTGTAGATGCTAGTGGGAGAAATCGAAAAAAAAAAGAAATTTTTTCGATCGAGCTGATATGACCGATAATTCCTAAAGGCCCCCAAATCCTATTTTATTTTCAATATTTTTGAATGCTATGGGGGCTGGCTGTGATAATACTTCACTAATCAATACGTGATGTGAACGATTAGAAACTAAACACCAAAATAAATTAATTTTTAATTAAAGCACATTTTTTATTAAAAAAAAATAAATTTACTCTTTTTTACAAGAATAGTGATTAGAATTTTTTTTATATATATGCAATTTTATAGAACCAGTAGTATTTAAAATTTTACACATAGATAACATTTTTTAAATAATTACAATTCTCTTTAAATCTGAATTATCGAAAAAAAATTTCTAATTTTCAATCCCTTATTTTATTTATTAATTTTTTAATTTCCCCTTAGTAAAAAAAAGAATTATTAAAAAAAAATTTAATTAGTGAAAATTCTTTTTTACTAATTCAGATTTAGAGAATAAATATAATATTAAAAAGAAAGTATACCATAATAATAATACATTTTGTATATGTTTCTGATAAAATATTGTTTCACATCACGTATCGATATACTTATGCCCTTGTTACATACCAGTCTAGCCTATAAAAAAAAAACAAAAAAAAAAAAAAAATTGATAAATCCCTACAGTGCTAAGTACCTAATAATACCTTATAGAGGTTTTGGGAATGCAAATAAACGACGCCACCCACATTTACAAAAATAAAAATGATAGAAAAAAAATGCGTTTATGTTGCACGGGTCCACTTTGCAATCATACAAAAAAAAAAAAAACTACAAATCTGTAAATTAAACAGAAAAAGAGAAATTTTCGATATAAGTTGATCGCTAGTCTAACTCTTGATGTGAAACAATTTTTTAAACCTGCCGAAGATACAAATTAGACTCTCTCAAATTTGAATCAGTTAAAAAATAAAATTCAATAAGAAATTACAATTTAATTCATTTAAAAATTAATTTGAAAAAAAGTGAATTAAAATCTAATTAATTATTTTAAATGAAGAAATAAAATATTAATTTATAATTAACTATCGATTAATAATAAATATATTTTATTATTATTTAATCAATTTTCCTATTAATTTTAATTAAACAAAAAAATTAATATTTTGTTTTAAGAAATAAAATTTAAAAATTAAATTGAAACAATTTTTTTTCTAAATTATAATTTTTACTGATTCATATTTATAGAGAGATAAGTCCACCAAGATCTCCGCCTGTTTTAGGTCAATTAATATCTCACGTCATCCATATATTTGTCAAAAATCGATCAATCGTGAAAAAAAAAAAAATGTATGCGAATTGTTTGTAAGGAATGTTCAAGAATTTTTTACATGATTTTTTGTTTTCTTTACTATATATTTAAATATAGTGAAAGCATGAAAGTGAGACAGTAATTTTTCAGGAGATATAAAAAATAGATAAGTCGTGAAAAAAAAAATAATGTTAGAGAACAAATAAAAAAAATTAATTGCATTTTTATAAAGATTCTCATATACTGGAATTTTACAAAAAAAAAAAATGAAAGAAAAAATGAAATTAGCTTTTATTTATAAAAATAAAGTTTTTTTAAAAGTGTCTTTAAAAAGAAATCTTTTTTTCTAAACAAAAAAATTACTTTTACAATAAAGAAAGTGTTACTTTTAGACAAGAAAAAAAATAATTAATATTTTCTTTTGTTAAAGTAGTCTTTTTTTCAAAATCAATTTTAATTTTGATTGACGCACAAAAACTAAAAAAAAAAAAAAAAAAGAGAAAGACAAAAAACACTTTACGAAATGAAATCATAATTAAATTAGTTTGGAAGGTTTGACTGCGTTTGAAATATGAAATAAAAAGACTTGTAAGAAAATCTTCCATCGTACAGTTGCATTAATTAAAAAAAAAAACAAAAAACAAAATAAGAGAAGAGAATGATCAATTGAAATGAGAACGACAACGAAGAAACCTCAACATTGTAATTCCACAAGCTTTTAGCTTAATCTTATATAGAATCACGACTATTTTTCTCAGTCGGGCCTAAAACCGTTCTTATACTATTAAAAAAAAAAAAAAAAAATTGTGTACTGACTAATTCTTTTCTCAAATTTTCTTGAGCACATGCTGTTAAATGCAACAAAATTTCTCTGACAGAATATTTAAATATTTGAGAAGAAAAAAACGATATTAAAAAAAAAAAAAAAATGGGAATGGAGTCGACGAACTTGTGCCACGAAATTGATCTTATATTTAAGATTTAAGGTGTATTTGTTATTTAAATTGTACGAAATAAGTTAGCAAAAAAAAAAAAGTAATTTCCATGACAAAATGAGTATTTTAACAATTAATACTGAAATAATTAGACGTATTTTTATTCAACGAATACACTTTAAAGAAAAAAAAAAAAAAAAAAAGAAAAGTGATATAATGTCATCGGAAGAATTTGGGGATTAATGCGACTTTATAAAAACTGGATGCAAACAAATGGGTAATAAATTGGAGAAATATATATATTATTTTTCGTTTCATTGATTTATAGACACAATCCAAAAAAAAATGTGAGTAAATTTAATTCAGCAAATTAACAAATTTATTAATTAAATTAATTTTAAATAATTAAATTAATTTTTACTAATTAATTAATTTTAACTAATTAATTTATTTTCATGTAAAAAAATAAGGTTTAATTTTTTATAAAAATTTTAAATTCCTTTTTTTACTGCGTAATACAAACAAGATAAATACTTTAATTAATTTAGCCAAAAATTTTAATTATAATTATCATTTAAAATTAATTTTAATAAAGATCAATCAATTCTTTGCTTATAAAAAAAAAACAATTGCAATCTTTATTAAAATTTAATTTTAATTAAAAGTAAATTTATTATCTAAAATGAAAATTAATATTAAATTTTTATAATAATTAATTAACAATTATTAATTATAATTATATCATATAATTATATTATTATTAATATTATTTTTATTACATTATTATTATATATAATTATAATTATATTATAATCCATTATTATTAAAAAATTTGATTCAAATACTCGATTACTTGACTATTATTAAATAAATATTTATTTGTATCAAATAATTATTGACACAATTAAATAATAAATATAAATATTTATTTGATAATAGTCAAGTAATATCGAGTATTTGAATCAAATAAATTTTTTTTCACTGTATAAATCAGATAAACATAAAATTAGTTCGAATTTTTAGTTTTTAATATTTATCGATTTTTTTTAAATCGGTATTAAATAATATTCGAATTAATTTATAATATTTTTTTTTTAAATCAAAATTACAAAATAGAAAATTTAATTCGTAGCGAATTAAAACAGAATTGATTCGAAGGAATTATAATTAAAAAGATAAAATTAATTAATTATTAATAATTAAAACTAATAAAAATAAAAATTATTAGGTGATAATTTAAAAAAATTAATATTTAAAAATTTAATTTTTCAAAAATAAATTCCATTAAATTTACTCACTTTTGGAGTCGATTTCAAACTCCAAAAAAAAAAATTCCCACTTTTAATTCCAGTAAAAATAATATTAATATTAAAAAAAAAAATTAGCCTCAAACAGTAACAGATGTCAATCACTAACTCTCGAGAAACACAACTTGAATTTAAACAAAGAAAACACAACATTTCAATTGTCCCCCCCCCTTTTCTTCTTTATAAATTTTGTTTACGTCAATTTTTATTTTTTTTTTTCACGATTCATGCGCCAATATAGATCGCCACGCGAAAAGCCCTCGATCAAAATTCTCCTATATATCCGTGATCTAGAGAGGAATTGAAGCGAATGAAGACAAGTGATTTGCGCACATTGTCCCGAACATTTCTCTCTCTTTCTCTCTCTCCTCGTGCTTTGCCGAGCACACTCCTTCTCCTCTCAATCGTTCGGCATCATTCGTCTATTCTCGTGTTATTTCGCGAGTCGAAATAACCAATGGTGGGGCGCAGTGTATTCGTGACGTCACATAATTAGAGTAAATACAAAGTAGTCTCGATGGGACAGCGGCGTGCGTCACACCGAGAGTCGCTGATCCGTGTGCGTTTTCAAAATAAATAAATAAAAAACAAAAAAAAAATTACAATTACGCTCTCATGCACACATCGTGTGTGCCAAGTTTTCAATTTTAATTATTTGTGTTCGTGTTTTTTTTTTGTGTTATTGAATGTGAATTAAAAAAATAAATAAAAAAAATACTAGATGAACGTGAAAATAGTGTGTGACATTTGGAAAACATGGATAAAATAGAAGTGAGTTAAATTTTTTTTTAAAAAAAAAAAAAACACATTTTTTTTTTCAATTAAGTCCATAGATACACTGACAGTATCACGAGTGGTGGAGTGTAAAGGGGGGTGGGGGAGGGGGAAAGGTAATAGTGGGAGGTTGATCGTATACTTATAGGTATTGTGTGTATCTTCAACGAGAGATGCTATTAGATAAACTGGTTACTCTTTCTCCTTCGCGCGCCCCCCCCTCCACTCTTCTTGTCCCTTCCTGGACCCCCCCTCCCTTTTTATAAACCTTGTGTATATACTGTCTCTGTTTCGCGTACGCTACACGACCCTCATCTCCCTTGTGTCACCCTCCCCACCATCAAAAATTCTCTCTATCTCCCACTTTGTTCATTCCATCTTTTTCTTTCTCGCACTTTGTCAAAGTATTTATAGATGTTCCTTAACCCGATTTAACACCCATCATTAATAGGGCTTTATATACAATATTTTTTAATATTAATTAAATTACAAATATTAAAAAAAAAAATTCCATTTATAGGAAAAATAAATTCGAAATTAAAAAAAAATTGAATTCTCCTTCCGGAATTATATTTTGGAAAAAGAAATTGTAGGTTGACGTTCGTTTGGCCGATGGGATGAAAGAGGGAGAGAGAGAGAGAGAGAGGGGGGGGGGAAATATCCCGAGCGCAATTTAAATTCAATTTCAATTTATTTTCACAAAGAAATTTCCAGAAATGGATTTTCAAATGTAAATTTTTATATTTTCGCGTGTTTCAGAGTTCACAAAAAATTGTGATCTTTTTTTGTTTTGAATAAAATTAATTTGGAAACAATTTTTTTTTTTTTTTTTTGCAAACATCAATTTAATTGACTGTTAAAGAACTCGATATTATTGACATTAATGCCAGGGTGCCTCGCCCTGTTAAATTGAAAGTATGTATACATTTGAAAATTAAATCGATAATCGCGCGATGCGGGGTCGAGTGAGTCACGGGTAAATAATTATATTTTATATCTTGTGATAATGCGCGACAGTGTTTATCGCATTGCGCAAAATAATACATTTTATATAATTTTTTTTTTTTTTTTTTTTTTTTTTTTCAATTAACTTCCTTTTTCCTTCTCTCGATATTGAGAGGAGTCGATTTTTTTTTATCTGCAGGGAAGGAAAGAAACTATTTTATATTTATTTTTTCAATTTGAAGTTTTAAAACAAAAAAAAAAAAAACAAAATATAAATAGAAAAAAAATATAAAAAGAAATAAAATATAAAGAGAAAAAAAAAGTAAATATTATTATTATTAATAATAAATAGAGAAAATATAGTTTGATATTAATTAGAAAATAAAGAAGATGATTTTTAAAATAAAACATCATTCCTCCTACGCTCATCGACCTCCAGAAGAATTTTGTTTCTTTTTTCAATAAAATTGTGAGCTCTGCTTATATTTGTAATTATAATCTGAGGTTGGAAGGCATTTCTGTGTATTTGTACGTGTATTCAGGAGAGGGGGGTTGAGGGGGGGACGCATTACACACACAAAAGTAGCAGAGCACACATATACAAAAGCCATTGGGCGCGCTGAACACACAAACACATGGAAACTCTCACATAGATTTCTATCTCGCACATGCACCTCGCATCTTATTATTCCGACAACGAACTTTTTTTTTTTTTTTCTCTCTTTTTTTTCTTTAACTTATCCAATAATCGTTCGCGCGTGTTTATCCTTGTGCCGTGTTTTGTAAATGTGTGTGTATATACGTGTATATATCAATTTCACAAATATATAAATGGACTCGAGATTTTTCGTCTCTGTATATATATATATTTATATGTTTTACGTTTGCAATCAAACAATCGTCACCCAATATGTAGAAATTTCATTATAAATAATGTAAATAATATTCTGTATTTCTCTTAATTTTCGCGCAATTATTTTTTTCCAATGAAAAATAATTTTTCCAACTAATTAAAATTTTTATTATATGTATATTATTTATTATTTATTTTTTTAATTTTTCAAATTATTGATAAATAAATAATTAATATATATTATTTTTATATTTTATAATTAGAAATTTTTATATATTAAATTAAATTTATTTTAATTCTATTATAATTCGTTATAATTAGAAATTTTAATATTAAATTAAATTTGTTATTTCTATTCTAATAATCGTTAATATAAATTGATATGGACATTTTCTAATTAAATAAAAATAATTATTTACACTAATTTAATAATTTTTTATTATTATTATTATGTATTGAGAAATAATGTCACACCTACGTAATGCGAGGTTGATTGCAAAATTGTATAAAATTAATATTTAAATATATTTTGTTCTCCGTTTATTTAATATAATAAATATCGCGATTAAAATATTGTGACATTTCATATAAATTTAAAAATAAAAATAAATTTCAATAAATATTATTATTATTATTATTATATTAAATTATTATTTTTAAATAATTATTATTATTCCTCGTATAAAAAGATAATATATATCTATATTACATTATTATAATAAATAAAATAGTAATAATAATTATTATTATTATAAAAATTATTAATATTGCTATTATAATTATTATTCTCTCTTATTATTATTCTTATTATTATAAATCTCTTTTATTGATTTTTTTTCAAATATTTAACAAACATTTTTGTTCCAAGAAAAAAAAAACCAAAGATAAATTTTAATTAACGAAATACAAATGAATTTTGCGTTTGTATAATTTTAATTTACCTCGAGAGAGCGAGAGAGAGAGAAAATATAAGCGTCAGTTTAAATTTCGCTTTTTACACTCGGTGCTCCTATGATGGCATTCAACGAAAGTTGACGTAATGGAATTTACTTTTGCAGCTTCTCTGAGCTTTTTGCGACACACCTACTTTGACTATATGTATATATTATATTAAATTCACTATATATATATATATATATATATATATTTTTTTTTTTTTATATATTTTCCATCGCGAAAATTGAAAAAAAACAAGTGTTACATTGAAATTACAGAATGAGAGAAAAAAAGAAAAAAAAGGGGGGGCGCTTGTGATAAATTCGGAACGTGGTAAAAGTTAATTGTGTTGGAGAAATTTTTTCCAATGACTGTACCTGACGCTAAAATTCTAATCGGCAAAATTAGTCGACTGTGTACAGTCTGTTTAGAAAGTAAAATTGACCGCGATTCTGCGCAAGAAACTTATGAAATCAAATACGCTTGCGGGGACAAAATCAATTGACAATTTTCGTCAACTATTTTTTTAATTGCATTTTTTTTTTTTTTTTTTTTTTTTTTTGAATTAGACTTTTATTATTTTAATTTTTTTTGTCATGAAAATAATAAAATGCGAAGGAAAGTCAAGCATCATTCAATGACGGGAATTTCAATATTAAACCAATGTAAAACTATATATATATATATATATATATAATATCGTTTTCGAGTGCCCTTCACTCGGCGAAAGTGACGCGTCATGACGATAAATCCTAGGGTCGGTGTAATACTAAAATGCTTTAGGGAAATACGATTAAAATTTTAATTTCTTTCAATTTTTTTTACCTTACACTAATTAGAAGTAATTAAAAATTTATTTTTCCATAAAAAATAGTTTTTTGTCTCTATATATATAAAATATATATTGTAAAATAATTTAATAAATGAAATTTAATATTCTAATGGAATTTTTCCTTTTTTTTTTTGTGAAAAGAAATGCGATATATTGAATTTCCAATAAAATGCTTTGAATATTATTTCCATTTGCAATTACTTTTTTTTTTTTTGACAGTCGATCAAAAAGTAATTAATTTCAAACAAAATTGTTTTTTTTTTTTTTTTAAATAAATGTAATAAATATAACGGAAGCAATTAAATGAAAAAAAGAATCTTCAATTATAAACGAATTTAATTAAATTTCCACTGAAACTTAATTAATCCAATTAAAATTTTTAAATATCAAAGAGAAAATTCAATTTTTATTTATTTTATAGATAAAGAAAAAAAAATAACAAAATATGTATAAAATAAAATTTTAGAAAATAATATTTTTTTATATTTATGAGTGAAAAATCAGTTTCATTAATTTTATTTGAAAATAGATTTTAAAAGCTTGATCTGCATTCTGAAAATTCATGAGAGGTTTACTTTTGAATAAAGCTATATATATATATATATATATATATATATATATAATATTGGAATTACATACACAAGTGTAGTGCAACTCTCTGCTGATTTTATCATATACTCGGGTGTGTATTCGTCACGGATGACTAATCACCCCAGCAATTTTGAAGTATTTATTGTCATAAAAGTAAATATTTTATAATTTACTGGAAAATAAAAAAAGAATAATAACTTGAAAAATTTTATTTTATAATTTCAAAAATAATTTTTTCATTAAATTTATTATTTTATTTTAAAAGTGATTTTTATTATTGAAAAATTATTTTAAAATTTAAAATTAAGAAAAAAAAATTTATGAATTATTTTAATTTTTAGAATTTTTTTTTGTAAAAAAAAACAAAAATTATATATAAATATATACAAAGGATGTTCATCATATTGAAATGTGATACTATTTCTTCTCAGTAATTTCTATTAAATTAATGCGAATAGAATTCAACGTAGGGGAAGCCGTAACGAGGCGTTGAATCAGACGTTACTCCAATTATATAAATTAGAAGCAGCTTCCGCTCTGAGCAACAATATATATATTTTGATTGTTTCATATTGCACGAGGCGAAACAAAAGACACAATCACATTCTTGAAATGAAAAAAAAAAAAATGCACCAAATAATAAAGTTAAGAAAAAAAAAAAATAATGAATTTTCACGAAATATAGCAAAATATTTTTCAGTTTTTAAAATATTTTCTAATTTTTATCACACTCTAATTTAAAGTGAAAACTAACTTTCACTTTTTAGAATTTCTGTTTGCCAATGTGAGAATTAAAAATAATTCTAAAAATTTAATTGAAAAAAAAAATTATAATTAAAA